ACATTATAGTAAATACTGGGTTGCACTTGTTGACAAAACTCGAGAAACATCTTTGAACCCACACAGTATATTATTTGAAACAATATGTGAAATGTGAATATAAATATGGGTTTGCTACAAGCCTATTTAAGCCAAAACATGAGAATTATTTGAGAGTATTAATTAAATTATGCTCTTTTAATCACCCCTCCCTGAGTGCCAAGCTCTCTCCCCTTGACAAGTAAAATCACCTAGGCATTAACTCTGCCTAGGGTTACTGGCCGGGTTAGGCAGAGTAAAATTAGTGGTGTTTACACTACAAGCCTTGACCTAGCCTTGGCCATGCCAAGGTAAATTTGGCACGTTTACACCATTACACTATTTTTTTGGGACAGGCTCACTTTGGCCAAGAATTTTGTTATTAATTTTGTGTATTTTTATATGTTGTGATGTTGTCCACTGGTTGTCCGCTAATCTCTTACTGTGGACACGCGTTGCCATGAATATAAGGCCCCGGCCAGAGCCGAAAGTGTTTACATTTCCACTAGGCTTAGGCCAGGTCTGTTGTAGTGAGCCCAGATTTCCTGGCCTAGGTCAGGACAAGGCTAGGCCAAAGTCTGTTTACGCTATCAAAATGTTGGCCAAGGCTGGTAGTGTAAACATGACTATTGAATGCATCAAGGTGCATTACGACTAAATGGTTAGTGTTTCCCACAATATGGTAAAAAAGTATAAACTTTTGCTAGCTTGAGCTTGAAGAATTTCCAAGCTAAACTCTTCTAGAGTTTACCCTGTATATATGTGCCTGTTTATATGATAATGGCATGACTGGACAGTAGGTTTTAATCCAGGATGGTGTGTTTAATATAGACGGAATACACCCCACCTGGCAGCGATGATAGAGTGCTTATATGAGAGTTTCTTGTGGGAGGTGGGATCCTGTCTAGGCCAGATAGAAGTAGAATAATTCAGTTTAATTACTAAACAGTTGATAGAGTTCATATTGCAAGCTGGATCATGCCGGCGGTATCATAATAATTACAAAGTGGCTACAGTATGATGCTTGTGATGTTACTCTGAGTGTATATCCACACCGGGCAAGCTTGAAAAATATGCCTGACCACGGTGGAAATCGAACCTACAACCTTTGGAATACTAGCCCAATGCTCTGCCAACTGAGCTACGCGGTCAGATCGGTTCGAATATGTGGTATTTCGGAACAGATTCTAGTTCCTTCGATATCAATGTAATCGAAGGAACTAGAAAAATCATTACTGATTATTAGATTACATTGATATCGAAGGAACTAGATTCCGTTCCGAAATATCACATATTCGAATCGATCTGACCGCGTAGCTCAGTTGGCAGAGCATTGGGCTAGTATCCCAAAAGTTGTAGGTTCGATTCCCACCTTGGTCAGGCATATTTTTTAATTAAGCTTTCCCGGTGTGGATATACACTAACATCACAAGCATCATATTCCTGAGTACATTACACCAACACAGAAAAATAATTACTGGCTACAGTATATCTACAGGTCCTTAATCAGATTTTGTCGTGCTATATTTACAGGCTTACAGCACTCTTATGTACTAAAACAGCACAGACTATAAAATTGATTGTTTATGAAGGATTTCAGCAAGCTCAAAAATAGATCACAAGGTTAGGCAGATGGCTGCTGTGCTGTAGTCTGTAGTTCGAACCCGAGTTGGGACAGGTTTTTGTTCACTTTAACTTAACATGTCTTTTTTTTCAGATTAGTTTTATTTTTTAGGGGTAGAGGTTAGGGTTAGTTTTGTCTGAATTTGACTTTGACTATAAATACAACCTGTGTGGAGACTAAGAATGAGAGTGCCATAAATATAGCCTGGCGAAGTTTGTTTGCGGGCCTGAAGATATAGCCACTTTGTAATAATTATTTAAAAAAGCAATCTAGTTATAATTAAATGGATCAAATGATTGGATACCGTAATTACTGCAGACAAAATATTGGGGGTGCTGTTGAGATGTCTGTTAACAAATCCTATCTAGTGCATATTTCTCTTGTTAAACCATTCACTGGCAATATGCTCTACTTTATATTACTCTGTCTAATGCCAGCAAATTTTACAGTTTTACTTGTTGAGAAGATAGCCTTGCAGCAGTTTCCAATTTGCCATGTATCGCCCACACAGAGAATACATTACTGGGGACGAGTCAGAGTAAACCATATGAACCAAGGGTTATCAATTATGATAATACTAGAACCAACTTCAACCAAAGGTTGGGTTGTGCTACTACATTAGGCCTTCCCATTCGTAATAATGTGCAAAGTTTATAGGTTGGACAGGAGGGAATTGCTCATATATTGCTGCATGCGAACTGCGAACTTGTGCTATATACTGTAATGTTAACTGACTGTGGAGTTCCAGTACCGGTACATGAAATACAGTATGTAGAGCTAATGACAGTCTTGTATTTCCTTTCTTATAGCTCATGTGACTAAACGTTTTGCGGGAGCAACAGCTTCATCAGTGAAAGCTGCCATGGCTCAAAAGTGCAAAGACAAGTTTTTTCCTTATTATAAATTATTTTTATGGTAGCTAAACATTTGTAGAAATTAACTGTATAAATAAATTATTTAAACTTCCTATATATACCATTACAGTATCTCACTGTTTGACAGGTTTAAATGTGCATGATTATATATATATATATATATATATATATATATATATATATATATATATATATATATACGCACGAAACATCATCCATTCCTATTTGGACGCTTTCCTTCTAAATAATTAGTTTACTCTATGACCTATGGCAGTATATTTACTCACCACTTGGCCAAACATTTTGTAAGTTTAGAATATATTCAAGAAAAACTTGAATACCTTCTAAACTTTTCAGCATTCGCCCAAGTCAATAGCAGTGAAATATTCCTTGTATCCAAGCGCTTTTATGTAGAAAGTTTCGTTTGAATACGACAAGTAAAAATATTTATTTCGAATTTTTCAAAATATCGGGTTTTTACTTGCACGCGCGTGCCACACGCCAAAATTGGCCAATAAGGAGCACTCGTAGCCCCATGCACGTGAAAATCACGCCACAGGGGTACTTTGACCTTTAGAATCGATTTCCGACGTTTCCCGAGTGATGGGATGTAAACATCGCATTGTTTCGGATATTTGAACTCGAACTTCCGGTCAAAGCTCTCGCGTAAAATTTAGATATTTTGAAATACCGAAATAAAACATGCAAATCTGCAGATACAAGCTTGAAAATAACACTCTAAATAGTGTGTTGGATTGTGTTTCGAACAAGACTAATACCAAAAAGATACGTTGAACGGGGCCGAAGTTATGTTCGGCGAAATGTATGGCTTAGTGGTGCATTGTTTACATTCTTCGAGTATGTTGTATATAGTATGGTATGGTTAGTTTACATTGTTCGAGTATGCCTAGTTTATAATTTGTGGCTATTTTACACCATTCGATTTCATAAATCTTTTCAAGCGGATTTTTTTGTTGGTTCTTTCGTATTTCTACTGCAAATACTCGTGGAGTACTGTAATATTTAAACTTCCCGTCATATACGTAAGAAATCAAATAATACGGAGCTATATGAGTTAAATGACTGTACGGTTCGTACGGTTCAATGCGCCCGCAATTATTGATGAATTTTAAACTTCGCTAATGCTTTCCTTTCCCCGGGTGTAAATAGCCGAGTGGAATTAGTACCCTCACCGGCGCTCCGCTCCGTTGGCTCGGAGATGAATACTGGCAAAACGAATAGCGTTAGCTCGGCGATGAATACTTGCAAAGAACCACTTATCAAAGTGCGGACCATCATTGAAATAATTTTTTATTTTTTTTATTTTTATTTCCAAACACGAATTTCTAAACATTGCGAACAATTTTATTTTCTTCTGATATATTTTAGATTGCGGCATGCTAATTTATTTCTTGAAAGTAAATTTGTAAACATAGTAAACAAATATATTTTCTGTTTTTGATTTTACAGTATTCTGTGGTAACTATGGGCCACCGTATAATTTAAAAGCAACAGTTTTTAATAAATTCCATATTACATAATTATCTAGATGATGAAAACCCACCTGATGAAGATATCTATAGCGAGGTAGATGACTATGAACCAAATGGTGCCAGAGAATATTCATCCGAACATCGTCATTTTTACCTATCATCCCAACCTGATGAATCAATGTATAAGACCCTCCTGGCGCGGTCTCATTTTCGACCAGTATTCCAAACTGAGCAATCTTATGGCTCCCACCTTCCTCAATCTCAACCGGCAATACGACATGATGACGATTCTTTACAATACAATGCCTCTCAATCTGAGTATACCAGCGTGTCGGAAAATGAAAAAAGCGTTTACGAGAATGATAATCCTGGAAACAATGGCAGAGCTGAAACCTGCGAGGAAGAAAGTTTACGTGAAAATGCCTATTACAACTTGGTTCAAGCGAGAAGAGAAGAGCGAAACACTTACCACTACATGTGCAGTAACCAATACAAAATAACAGTATCAAATGGTATGGTATAGTAGCCTAAAAATCTTCTGGAGTGCATGAATGTAAAGGAATCTGATTACCTTGAGACTGGTCCTTGATCTTTACGCCCGGATTTCTTTGTTTTCGTCTTTACCATGATGTTTAAGCGGGAGTTAAACTTTAACATCATATAGGAAGTAATAAATTAAAACAATTATTTCAGCAGTAAATTCGTAGTTTCAATTCAGCAAATGTTCGTCTACAATAAGAGTATTTTGGTTTTAAATATCATTTTTTTAGAGATTATGGAGAAAATACGGCGTTTCAATAGCGGACCGGACGATTTCCTGAAAGTGTTTGAAACTACTCACGATGAAATACGAACCGATGAAGAAGCCTTCATTATCAATGATCTTTTAAGGAAAAGCGATTCACCAAATTCTCAAATAATGGATGGCAAACTTGACCATCTGGCAATGCTTGCCTGCTGCAACAGTCCTCATGTAGTAAAGAGAGCGCTCGATGCTCTTTTAAATGAAATATTTTTGAGCATTTCCGATTACTCAAGAATTCGATGTTTTAACATATTAAAAGCTGAAAACATCTTTCGTGCGTCATTTCTAAAGTTCGTAAAGGTTGACCATTTTAAAGCTAAATCTCATCGGATGACGACATACGCTTGGCTCATTACGTTAGTCCTTCTCAAGTGCAGTAAAGAAGAATGCATCGAAATTCAACCAAAAATCAAGGAGTTTGACAAAACGCTAGACGCTCTCCAGAGTGACAAGGAACACAGTTCACGAAATACCTTTCGATTCGGTATCTATCTCGCTCGGGAAAGTATTAAAAGGATCATTCAGCACTGTGGGAAAAAAAATTTTCGAGAATCCTTGAACAGCAACCTAAAAAAGTGTGAAAATGTTCTGAATAGCAAGCTGGAAAAGAACGAAGTTATGAAGCTTGGTCGAGCGATCAACGATGGAGGCAACTGGCTAGATCTTCATGTATGCCTGGTGTTTTTACAAGATTTACCAAAGGTAATTAGTTTGAGTAACGGTTTGTATAAGTTTACTTTGAACCCCCTGCCAAAGAATATTAGCACTTCAAACCGTTGAAGTTTTAGGCCCTTTCTGGTTGACTGCAAGATTTGTTAGATTGGTCATGATTCATGAATAGAGGTCACAAATTTCATACAAAATCGTTAACCGTTAACAGATCACTAATTACACTGACCTGAAAGGTCAAGTGTGTTAAATCTCTAATTTTCTGTCTTTGTCGTCCAGAAATCGAGTTTGCGCAATTGCGCTAGCGCATCGCAGGCTAAGTTTCCAGTGTTCCAGTTCTCTATATATACAATTAGTTTTCAAGATGGCGGTATTTCGATAAATAACTTAATGACTATTTCAGTCTCAATCAATTTCTTCATTTGTCAACGAATTTTACCGCGATTTCTGTGGATTTTGAATTTATCCTACTCTGCACTTTCTTGGAAGTTGACTTGGTGTTGTTTTTCTCGTGCAATCTCTCTGAAATGCGACATCTGGATTTACAAAAACATCTCTCCAGGATCATGCCAAACTTTCAGTCTTTCAAGGTTCGCGGTTCACGATTTGTGTTCCTTGTCTGTTGCACCATAACACGTATGTCATAATATTCAAGTCTGTGTGAACACCTGAGCAGGCGTCTTGTTAACACTCGAAGGACATGGATGCAGTAACCCTTTGTCTATATTTTGCCACCATTGATTTAAAATGCAATATAAGTAATATATTGGCGAACACTGAACGCATGCACTGGATATTCCAATTCGAACACGATCAATTTGAATTTAAAAATATTTTCGACAAAAGCGGGGAAATAGTTGAAAGATTATAGTACATTTAAATATACTGAACAATCAATTTCCAAAATATATGCAGTATGTATGCTATTTTAGATTTACGTACTTTTATAGTCATATCCCATTAAACCTTTTTTAACTTTAAAGAAAAGAAAATAGAAACATTATTTTCTGAAAGAGTTAGGTGAAGTAAAATGAATTATGCAGAAAAATTTTAACAAAGTCATTAATTACACTAATTATCCAATATGGCGGCAGTTATAACTTAAGCCATAATTGCCTAACGACGCAAACATTATATTTATAATATCTCGCGAACTAATTACCCAAATATAGTGACGGATATATTTTTGAAAAGTTTTGAACCTGATCTAGTGCATGACGCTCTTCATTTTTTTCAGAATTCTTTAATAAGCCAAGATTTTTGCATTATTTGTACTTTTAATTGAGATATTTATGGTACAATTTGTGAATAATTCATCAATAATGAAAAATAGCGAAATTTGAAGAGCTTCATGCACTAAACAATGGTACAGGCTATAAATATAAGGCTTCTATAATAAAAACCTAGAAAAGTACAATGTCACAAGTATTGCTGACACACATCAAATTGCCAAAAAGAGAAACTCCACTTTAAAAGTTTCGTTCACTGTTAATATATTCTATAAAGCTTCAGAAGCCCTCATACACAACACCTACTTTCTCTTCAGCCTCATCTGTATGCTTTTTCTCAGATGCCCTATTGTTTTTCATCTACTTTTAATTGTTTCTCAGCTTTTTTGGCTAGAATGTAATTTGTGATTCATCATATACTATTGGCACGTCCAGCATGGTTGGTTTTACAGTGGTGACTAGCCTTCCTCTATAGATATTTTGGGTCGTTTTCTTTCTTTTGCCATTTCGGACATTTATCTGAGAGTATTTCAACATTCAGGCATTTCTTGGTATCTAATGAGATGGCAGAAACAACATTGTGCGACACATGATCTCGTCTTTGCCAAGTTCAATCAAGGGAAATTCCACATTCGCCTCTGTCATTTCTACAAGCCTCTTTAACAATCATGGTATTGTTTAGCATGCTGTCATTTGCCAACTGTTTCACAACAGGGAGCAGCTTCTTGTTTAGCATTTTTGGAAAGTTCCGACTGGTTTGTGGTGATGCCGTGATGTCATATGTTCATGACTTTTGGTGAATGTTACCATAGTATTATTCTCTGAATGCCAGGAGGCAGGGATTACTTTCACATTAAGCATTGGTAGCCCAGACACACTGTGCGATTTAAATTTAAATGCTTGGTATACTTAATTACCCCCTGCTGTAATAAATGACTAGCTCTAAAATATTCTGAATTTTTACGGTAAAATGTATCACTAATCAATACTTATCGTTGAAGGATATATACTTGTAGGTACACAGAATGCATCACCAACAATAAATAGTTTATACCTTTGCAGAAGCCCTTGCAATCCGACTTTAAAATCTACTGACATTCACGGCGACACGACGGAGGAGGGGAAAGGAGACAAGGTTGGCAACATCCATTGGCCAAGCTGCACGTATCATCATAAACAAATCCGTCTAACTCAACAATACGGCAAGCTTAGCCGAAAATTCTACAGCAGCTGATAAATCCACTATCTTGCTTTCCAACAATGTAGTCCTTTCAAAATTTGAAAGTTTCCCTTTCATTTCAAACCACGACCTCCACACAAAATTTACGATGTGACTAGGTGCGAGGTAAACAAGGTTCACAAACGGTAAATTTTAAATTTAAATCTCGCGCCTAATTGGATATATAAGCGGTACGACATTGCGAGACGTCACTTGATTCAATTACGCTTGTTGTATATTCATATCGGGTTAGTTACTTGCGGTTTTAAATAATATAAATAAGCCAGCTTCTCTGTGGCAATGTACAATAAAAATAAAAATATAGTCAAGGTATACTTAGCAATCCTAATTAATGTGAGAGTTAGATCGAGACAAGACAGCATAACATGGTGGCAGCGGTGGGTGCGATGTGAGCGATTTTTCGACACCAGCGATAGAGACGAAGGAAAATATTGGGCATAAACATTTTGATTTAAAACACTTGAAAATGGCGTTCAGTGCACCATTTTCAGCACCTCAAATGGATTGGGAAACCAACGACTCGATCTTAGTGTTTGGCAAATTCAAGCAAAAATGTGAGCTCATGATGTTCAAAAGTATACTCAAAGGTCTCGACATCTACCACAGTTGGACATTCGAAGACGGAAAAGATCAAAATAAGTTATGAAGCGACGAAGCGTCAAATGAATTCATTATCAAATCAAAATAAGGAAAATCCCCACCGAATTGAACGCTGATTATAAAAACAATAATAATATTATACAGTGTAGAAATTGTGGCAAAACTCACAAACTACCAAAAAAAGGGAACTGTCAAATTAAATCACTGGAATTAGTATGCAAACTAGCAAAGAGCCAGCATAGATCAAAGTCGTTACACCAAAAAAATAAAAATCAATTAATAGTCTCGAGAAACAAAATGAGAATGACCCGTATGCAGATATCACAACAATTGGCACTATTAAAATAAATAGTGTGGAAAATCATAGTAATACTACTAGTGAAGAAATATTTACTACCCTACGTGTTAACCGTAAGAATAATGGAGATATAGATCTAAACGCAAAGTAGATACGGGTACTCAGAGCAATGTATTGCCCATTCATTTGTTTCGTGTTCTCTACCCTGAATTAATTAATGCAGAAGGAATGCCCAGGGACGATGCTCTGCAAATTAGTGAAGTTATTTTAACTGCATAAGGGGATCTGAGATTACCAAATTTGGAAAATACTAATACCATGCCAACGCAAAAAGGGAAAGCGTATCTGTATTTTTTATGTAACTGATGCAGTAGATGCAGTTATATTGGGAATAAAAGCGTGTAGAGCCCTTTGAATTGGTTTCAGTTCATTGTGCACTGGAAACAAAATTTGTGCAAGGAAAAACGTCTTTCGAGATGTTGCCCAGGGACCTATTGAAGAGGAAGTAAAGCCCAGTAAGAGCGTCAGATTTGCAGATCAAGCAAAGATAATAAATCAGCAGCGGATCGGAATCGGTCCAGAAGTTAAATTAAACCTTCTGTGCCAATCAGAAGCCGTCCTCGTATAAAGGACAAAGAGCATCTGATTGAGATGTACCCCGAATGCACGTTATAGATTCCTTAGGATGCCATTTGGTCTTCAAATGAGCATATTAAGATGTTTTTCAATTCAAGATTGATGAAACTTATCGTAACTGTCTTGGTGCTACTGGGGTAGCAGACGATATCACAGTCCATTGCCAATATGAATCAAATCATGATCTGCATCTTCATGATGCAATGGAACGTTCAAGAATGGTTGGCATCAAACTCAACCAAGAGAAGTGCATACCAGATCCAGAGAAGGTCATGGCCATACAGAGCATGAAACCACCCAAAGATAAGAAAGAACTTCACACGTTCCTTGGCATGGTCAACTATTTAGCGCCATTTATGCCCAATTTGCCGAGTCACACGGCACCTTTGAGAGAGTTACTCTGGGATAACGTAGATTACCAATGGTTTTTCTCTTATACAAGAGCTTTTGACATACTCAAGTGTCAAATAAGCACAGAAACGACACTTTCATAGTACGGCGGAAGCAAAGTAGTTGTACTACAAGTAGAGGTATCAAATAAAGGTTTGGTAACCGTCCTATTGCAGGAGAACCAGCCCACTGCATTTGCATCGAAAGCCCTAATTCTTGCTGAAAGTCGGTATGCCAACATCGAGCGTAAGTTACTGGCAGTGATACATGGTTATTGAAGTTCCACACTTACTTATATATATTGAAGGCAATTTCTTGTAGAAAGTGATCGTCTTCCTTTGAAACAGATCCAGAAGAAGAATCTCGCCATGGCACCTTCTCGACTTCAAAGAATGCTCTTTCGCTTGCAACCATACGATTATACCATAAAATAAAAGCCAGGCAAAGAGATGGTGAGAGCAGATACACTTTCGAGACTGTTACCAAGGGAGGGAGACGAAATCCCTGGAATGCAAGTGAAAATTCATCATCTGGTGGAGTTCTCAGCTGTCGAGCTCCAACAGATAAAAGAAGAAACTACTAAAGATGGAACTCTTCAAATGCTCAGCAAGCAAGTTATACAAGGGTGGCCTGATAGCATAAAGAAAACTCAACAAGCAATAAAGCCTTACTGGAATAATCGAGATGATATTTCTATTAAAGAAGTGAGTTCTACTATTAGGTAGTAGAATAATTGTCCCAAAATCATTCCGGCAGAAGATAATGCAAGAAATCCACAGTGGTCATGAAGGGATGGAGAAATGCAAACTCCGCGCAAAATCGTGCGTCTATTGACCTGATATAAATAAAGAGATTGAGAGTATGATGGCGTGCTGTTCTGCCTGCAATAGATTCCACAATTCTCAGCAGAAGGAGCCCATGATTCCTAGTGAAGTACCGCCAAGACCATGGGATACTGTGAGCGCAGACCTGTTCAAGGTAAATAATTTCTGGTACACACCGGGTGTCCCAAAAAAAACTTGCTCTGTTTGATTTAATGTAACATAAAAACTATAAAGACTATTGCACTCAAATAAGATATATTGTATTCAGAAAGTGCTAACTTAGATTTTGATATATAACACTTGAATATCCGTGCAATATTTCCTGAGCTATCGATGTTTTAAATCGAATAAGCATATTTGACATGCAATGTTAAAAATTTGGATAAAATTGCCTATCAAATATTAGGAACTGGTCATAAAGTAAAAGAGGGGGGTGGGCTGGGAAAAATAGGGAGTGGGTTACTATTTTTGAGCATGGTTGAAAGGGTGGGTCATCGAAAGTTAAGTGCAATCATAAGGGTGGGCCATGTAAAAACATGCAGAAATTTTTTCAAGGGCATGTGATGTGTATTAAAATTCATATTATAAAAATAAAAATAAAACGTTTATCAGGATCCATGTGTAAAATTTATACCGCAAATGTTAACCTCAAACTTAAAAGCTGAATTTACTGTCTTGGCTAATACGTTAGTGGTGGCTAACTAATTTTCTGATAATCATTATTGCTAAATGTCATGAGCATTGTGTAGGATGTTTATTATGTAACAAAATTAGTGTAATTTCTACAAGAGCGTACTTAAATCACAATAATCGTTAGCGGTTTGGCGTTTGCTGTAAATGTCAAACTAAGGGTCTCTAATTATGAGAAAGATACTGCATAATGCAGTATGCATGGGAAGTTCCATGCAAAGAAAGACCTTTCTGTACTTAATTCAAGGCCTCTTTCAACATATAGACTGGGGAGGACATGTCCCCCAGCCTTGTTACTGGTCCCTCCAGTCGGCAATTTTGTTGTCCCCCCCCCCCCACCACCACCACCACCAGAGAGGTCCCTAAGAACAACCTGCAGGAGGTGGTCAACCAGAAATTATGTATGAAAGTGAGAAAACGATGTTAAGTTGTTAACATTTCTGAATTTGTCCAACATCTGCAGGCCCGTAACTAGCTATGAGTCCACCGAGTCATTTGACTTGGTAGGCCAGAATTTCGGGACTGAATTTAAACATCGCCAGAAACCTAAACCATTACTAAAATAATTTTAGGACGATATTCTAGTTTAGTTTTTCCAAGCAAAGATACTCCAAAGAGACCACCCTATCTTGCTCTTCAGTGAAACTGAGAAGACAAATGCGTTTATTTCAAGTACCCCAATGCATGTAATACAGTACTGTAGAATTTGAAGTGTGGTGAATGATAATACTATACCACACACATTTTAATTATCACATCATCACACCATGTTGCCTTATTGGTACTGGATTACATTTGGGAGACTGTGAAATTGGAGTAATTGTGTCACTGTTTATAAGGTTAATTTCTTGTTGGAAAACTCCTCAAATGTGGGAAATAGTTTATCTGAGCTTCAAGAAATCCAAAATTTTCTGGGGGTATGCCCCCAGATCCCTCTAGAAGCTCGCACCTTGGGTGGTCGACTCGGTTGTCTCAGAATCCTAGTTACGGCCTGATCTGCTGCCCTATGACATATACTTTAATTAAACCATGCATATATATGCTGGTAGTTGCTGTGATACAGACTTGCTGACTGGAACTTCTCCAGGTCTCCCGCTAAATATGTTCTCTCCAGTTACACATGTATCCTTAAAAGAGGCCCTGAATTTTAATTGCACCATTTGAATAGCTATTGAGTATTGTAACACACTGAATTATTTGGCAACAGAAAAATTGAACGTTGGTATTTTTCGCGTTTCTGAAAGGGTGGGTCATAATTTTTCAGCACCAATTTAAGGGTGGGCCACAAATTCTCGTGCAGCTCTTAAGGGGTGGGCTACCAAAAGTGCAGACACCAAATATACGATTTTCCCAGCCCCCCCCCTTTTACTTTATGACCGGTCCCTTATTTGGTTAAAGTTGATTATATAGTTTTATTGTGGTCAAAAGAACGAATTAAAAACATAATTGTAGGATAAACATTTATTCATTCATCATAGAAAGTATGTCCTTTTTCACGTATACAATAGACGGTTTTACATAACAAGACGCGGACGTCAAGAGGACGTGAAAATGACGTGTGCACCTCGCGTTCACTTCCGGGTTTTAATCTGGGACGGCTTGTTTGTCTTTCTCGAAGCAAATTTTTGTTTTCTTGTTACCTGTTCATTCCTGTATTGTTTTCAATCAGTTGGCAAGATATGTGCAAGAAAAGGCTATATAATACTGGCCAAGTGTTTCCTGATGAATTAGTATGAACATTCAATAAGTTTTTTTTAGGAAAAAACGTATATTTCGGTATTTTGAAAAGTGAACTTTGTTGCATCATTTGGAATAAATACAATAGCTGCAGGTATTGTTTACGAGATAAATGCTTTAGTTTGTAGCCTATTCAATCAATTTTGTCAACTGTTCAGTATAAATATAGCATCAGTGTTTATATTGATAAAATTCAATACTGTTTACGATAGTTTTTCACGCTGGAAAGAGTTTTTTTGCTTGTCCTACAAACTAAAATTGATTGAGTTTTTGCTGCATTTAAGTGCTTTTATTTTTCTATTTTCCCTCGTTTTCCTGATTTTAAACAGTTGTTAATATAACTTCAGCTTAGTTTGTTCTATAATATTTGTTTTGGTGAAGATTACTAGCGGTATTGAAGTGGTTATTAGCAATGCTTGCAGTTTTGTTTATTTGTTTATGTCGACCGAAAGTATTTGTTGAAAATCATCTCGTCCAAAATTTAGCGAAATACAAGAAAAACAATCTTTTCAATGGAAAAAATTTAGCTAGTATCATTAAACAATGCATGGGGAACAAAATAGGATGATTTTTATTATGCAGAGTCTCATATTTTTTTCAGAAGAAGCAAAAATCTGTGACGTTCTAGAGAGGACGTGAAAATTGTATGTTCGCGTCGTGAAATCGTCCAAGACGGCCTCGCAAATCAGAAGCAGACGATAGTTGGCGCCAAATGACGACATCCACGTCCTCTTGACGTCCGCGTCTTGTTATCTAAAACTGTCTAATGTCTTGCACGGGAAACCATAAAACTCAAACTCTTTGATCTTTTGTTAATCGAGACATATTCGAATGGCGAACGACGACCAACTAACTTTATAATACGAACTCTCACGGACGTCAAATATGCTTTCGAACGTTTTTAAATGTTTCATGCTTATTTCAAGAAACACGACAGGTTAAGTTATACTAGGACATTGCCCGAAATGAAAGTTGAGTTGAAATACTGAAATTGAAATTGTTAGTTTTTGTGGAAAATGGCAATTTGTTTTCATATAAATTTGATCAGCCATGTTTCTGGATTTTTACTCATTTTTAAAGCGTGCGCCACATTCAAACGTTTGTATCTCACGTAATATTACATGAAGTGTTTAAGGCTATATATCAAAATCTAAGTTGGCCTTTCCTCAATACAATAAAACTTATTTTAGTGTAATGGCTTTTATAGCTTTACATTACATGAAATCAAACACCGCAAGTTTTTTTGGGACACCCGGTAGTTATCGCTGACTAATACTCGAAGTTTCCATTCGTGAAGAATTTGAATAATCTAACAGCAACCACATGTGGTTAGATCAATATTTTCTGAGCAAGGCATACCAGAAACTCTGATTTGTGATCATGAAACCCAATTCACTTCTGTCCAATTTCAAGACCTAGCGAAGAGATATGGTTTCAGAGTGGTGACTTCGTTACCGTACTACCCAAAGGGACATGGCTTCAAAGAATCCGGAACTGATCCTAGTCTTAATTTCATTGCTGTCCTTACGTTCTGCACTGTTAAGTACAACACTCAAATCTCCAGCAGAGCTACTATATGGAAGAATGTTCAAGACAACATTACCAGTAAAGATTCCTACATCAAACGATCGGCACGAAACCAGAGACTTGTTATTAACACAACAAAAGAAACAAATCAGTCTCAATAACAGGGATTCGAAAGAGAAGACAAATCTGTTTCAAAATCAAGCTGTACAAGATCAAGACCCTCTTAAAAAACGTGATATGGAGTCCAGCCAGAGTAGTTGGGTTTTGACCAACTCCTCGTTTCTATATTACGGAGGATAAATCAGGTGTTCAATTACAGAGTAATAGACAGTTAATCAAGCCTGACATCCAGAAGACCCCTGAACCAACAAGTCGTGCAGTTGTGAAGGATAGCCAAAGTGAAAAGGGAAATGTTGTGATACCTGATTGACCAGAAGTCCGAACACGCTCAGGTAGTACAATTAAAAAGCCGGACTGGCTAATGTATAAGTAGATAGTATCGAACAGACGTAAATAAGAACACGATCGGCAAGATTTATGCATTAATACAAATAACGTAACTTAGAAATATAAATCGGAACATTTGATAAAGACAAACTGAAGATAAACAATCTAGAGATATGTAAATAATATAAATATAATTTTTAATGTAAAATTAAGAAAAATTGTAAAAATATGTTAGGAGGATGTTGTATATTCATATCCGGTTAGTTACTTCCGGTATTCAGTAATATAAATAAGCCAGCTTCTCTGTGGCAATGTACAATAACAATAAAAATATAGTCAAGGTATACTTTGCAATCCTAATCAAACTGAGAGTTAGATCGAGACAAGACCACATGACAACGCTTATTCAATTAGGCGCGAGATTTAAATTTTAAATTTACCGTTTGTGAACCTTGTTTACCTCGCGCCTAGTCACATCTTAAATTTGTGTGGAGATGGTGATTTGAAATGAAATTTCTACAAAGGGAAACTTTCAAATTTGAAAGGGCTACATTGTTGGAAAGCAAGATAGTTGTTTTATCAGCTGTTGTAGAATTTTCAGCTAACCTTTCCGTATTGTTGAGTTAGACGGGTTTGTTTTTGATGATACGTGACGCTTGGCCAATGGATCTTGCCAACATTTTCTATCCTTTCCCCTCCTCAGCCGCGTTGCCGTGAATGTCAGTTGATTTTAAAGCTGGATTTCAAGGGCTTCTGCTAAAAGTATAAACTATTTATTTTTGCAGATGCATGGTATGTATCTAAAAGTATATTTCCATCAACGATAAGTATTGATTAATGTTACATTTTAGTGTAAAAATTCAGAATATTTTCGAGCAAATCATTGACATCATTATTATGAAGTCGTTACCGCAGGGGTAATTACGTATATATACCAAGCATTTAAATTTAAATCGCACAGTGCATGTGTCTGGGCCGGGCTACCCATGCATTAACTTCTTATGATGCCCCTTTTTTTGTGAAGTATAGAAGCAGTAATTCTATTCATTTCATTCACACTCCATGCTATATCACAGTGCAGGACAATATATTGGGATAAGCTATTCTTCTTTTTCTTGTCAACATGGAAAGTGATCAGTCATGTTACCACACTCAAGGCATTTCGGAACTTGATTCTAGCCAAACTTTACACTTACATTGTCTATTTTCATCTTAGAAAGTCCAGGGTTTTGATCACAATCATCACAATCATTTTGAATTTCGTGGCTTTCTTTGATGGCCAATTTCATGCCTTTTTTCTCTTTCTAGTTCGATTATTTCCCATATTCTTATCGAAAATCCCAAAGAAAATGACAAACTGATCATAATATTATATTCAACAAAGAACAATAATTTTCGACTAAATATTCAGAAATAACAAAGATTTTCGACGATATGTTTACAGCCAGAGATTTGCGAATGACCGCGAAGTTGCTACGAAAAAAGGGGTTGCCATGTAGGCTACTGATGTACATGCAAAATGGACCAATCAAACAAAAAAGAGCTTAAAAACGTATATCAAAAGTAGAAACTACAAAACACTCGGTTTTTTGGTTGCATGCCCATATATGGGCATGAAACTTTCATATAGCTCTAAATTTCGTGTCGCGTTGTGCATACGTTGTACCGGCGGTGGTAAATCACGTGACAGATTCGTAAAATACGACAAATACCGAGTTTGCTTGGAGCTGCGTCTAGATGAACTTGAGCAATACGGTAGAAGAGATTGCCTTGAGATCACTTGCATACCAGCGGCAGTAAACGAAAACCCAACCAAACTCGTTCAAGAATTATCTGATGTAATTGGAGTGGATCTCGCTGAGAGTGACATTTCAATTGCGCATCGTTTACCTTCGACAAGAAAAGTCAAAGATCGACATATAGTTAAATTAAATCGTCGAATAAAAAAGCAGGAAGTATATGCGAGTAGGGAAAAGTTAAAATCAAAGCGCTTAAAAGATCTGCCATCAATCGCGGGTAACCCAATATTTCAATCGGTGATGTCGAACACGCGAATTCATTTTAACGAGTCTTTGACACCATACAGGAAACGTCTATTCGGTCGCATCCTTGAGTTCAAACAAGAATCCAAATTCAAATATTAATGGACGGTGAATGGAAAAATTATGCTACGCGAAACTGATGACTTACCTACGTTAAGTTTTGCGAGTCATGAGCAATTCGACGACTTTCTTGACGAAAGAAATTAAATTAAGATTACTATATAACTCAAAATTAAACAATTTTATCTTTACTAGCCTATATTATCCACTGATGGATATCGAAACAAGCACAGTAAGTAATCTTCCGTTTTACTCGTTATCGGATAAAGAATTTAAACCATTATTTGGAAGCTTGTCCGGAAGGAAAAATAACGATTTCAATTTATATGATTTGTTTCTAAACCCCGATAAATCAGACGAATCTGATCCTGATCATATACTATATAATCCCGGCTCTGAATATTTCTCAAGTGACAAACTTAAACAAAACATTAGAAACTATGCCAAATTCTCTTTCAATCTTACACTGTAATATAAGAAGTTTATCAAAAAATTTAAACATTTTAGAAGATATCTTATACTCCCTGGAGCATACACCAAACGTACTAGGAATTACCGAAACAAATTCACATGGAGAAACATGTTCCAATATAGATATCAAGAATTATAATTTCTTTTATACTGACTCAAAAACAAAGGCAGGTGGTACCGCACTATAATATTGCCAATAACTTGAAATCTATATCTAGACCCGACATAAAATTTTCAATAGAAAAAGTTGAATCATGCTGGGCCCAGATTGAAGCTAGCAAAAATAAAAAAAGGATAATCAGGTTGTAATCTTAACTCGTTCAATATAAAATTAAACAAAATTATTAAAACTATTAATCCTGATAAATTTGATCTTTACATTTGTGGTGACATGAACATAAATGTAATGAACATGCATGTACCCTGCTGGCAGTGGTTTCTGAGCTGAGGAGAAACCACTGCGAGCAAACGAACGATCGTTTCATGTAGCCGCCGTCCAGATTCACGGACGAATACATTAAATCCTCAACCGGTAAGACAAGTTTGACAAGTTTTTGTTGTTGTGCGCATGGGTAAATGCTTGCCACTGCTGGTAAAAATGGGAGTCAGTTGTACACTTGAAAACAACATCACGCTCTAAATATAGTGACACGCTATAAATATACTACAAAATATTATAACGGCTTTACAAAATATTGAATGAAATATGAGAAATTATACATTAAGATGACTTGAAAACCGCCTAGCGTTCAACAGAATAACTATACACTGCAACAAAAATCAACGTTTTACAGAAATAGTAGCGCCGTGGCGACGATCTTTGATCGGTTGAAATTTGTAGCGGTTGAGGTCGCGACGATCAAAAATTGTAATAATTGTCAAAATCTACAGTAACGTTATTATATTATTTGGAAACTTTGGGAATTGGAATTTAACGAAAATCTTAACATAATCTCCAACATTTAAGTAACACAAATAAAGTTCGAAGACCGAATTAAAAAAATTGATATTGATCGGATAAATACAAAATTTTAAAAGATACCCCTTGCGAAAATAACTATATTATATTGCTATTTTAAAACTATTTTATTACTATCACCCCTTTTTTTATGCTATTTTATCGAGAGGAAACCCTATTTTAATTCTATCATAATATTTCACTAAAAGAGTAAGCCATATTTTATTAATGTTTTACTTTATTTTATTTTATTCCTATTTTTTATAGACAATATAAATAAAATCGCAAATTTTAATACTATTTTCCAGAGCCTCAGTGAAAAAATATATTATATAGAATATATTATATAAAATATATATATTAAAACTAGAAAGCAGTTTGAAATTAAAAAAGATATAAAATATACTATTTTTAAACACATAAAATAAAATAGGCTGTTTAATTAAATCCTATTTTACACTTTGCAAGGTAAACGCATAAATTTCAAACAGGGATAGAATACACTATTTTAATCCTAACTTTCTTTCTTAGCTTGCAAAATAACAATAAAATAGACTATTTGAAACATATTTTACACGTCCAGAAAATTACATAAATCAAAATAGATATAAAATATACTATTTTTAAACTCTTAAAATAAAATAGGCTGTTTAAATCCTATTTTACATTGTAAGTTAAATGCCCAAATTTCAAACAGGAATAAAATATACTATTTTAATCCTATCTTTCTTTCATAGTTAGCAAAATAACAATAAAATAGACTATTGTAAACATATTTTGCACGTGCAGAAAATTACATCAATTAAAATAGATATAAAATATAGTATTTTAAAGCTATTTATTTTTTAAAATACGCAAAACAGAAAAAATAGACTATTTTAAACCTATTTCACATTTTAAAAAATGCTACACTTTTCAAATAGGGATAAAATATACTAGTTTAAACCTATTTACTTTCCATAATTTGCAAAATATAATAAAATACACTATTTTAATCCTATTTTACATTTACAGGAATGGGGATTACAATTTGCAGATATGTCTGAATTTTCCTACTTAGCAAAATGAAATAAAATATAACCGTATTTTACATTTACACAGATAAGGGACCAATCATTAATATTGGGGGGGGGGGGGGGGGGTGAGAAAAAGGGGAGGCTTCAACTATTGCGTACAGCGTCATCCCCACTGGTCATTCCATGCAGTGCTTCCACTTGCAAGGAAATTTCTTTGCAAAAAAATAAAATTTACCAGGAAACGGCAAGGAATTTTGTTTTCAGCAAGGAAATAAGGATATTACGTTATTTCTAATAAATCCTAAGATTGTAGCAATTCCCAAGCAAATTCGCGTCAGGAAATGTCAAAATATCCAAATCTTACTACTCCTGGGGAATGGAAAATCCGAAAAATTTCTGAGGGGTGACCTCAAGCCTCCTGTTGAAGTAATGAAGTTTCTTTATAATTGATTTATAATTTATAATTGCAATGTTCATGGTATTTCTCGTCCGAGCAACACACCGTCATTCAGGATAAATTATTGTAATATCAGTTTTATTAAACTAGATGCAAGGAATTATTGTCAAAAATAAGGAAATTTTTAGCAGTACTAGTTTGCAGTTGGGAAGGAAATTCTTTTTTGGTGAGTGGAACAGTGTTTCCATTTGGAAGGAAATTTCCTTCCAGAAGGAAATTTGGGCCTTTGGAAGGAAATTTGGAAGGAAATAGCATTTGGAAGGAAATAGCATTTGGAAGGAAATTGGGAGGAAATATTGTTATAAGGAGAGAAATGAGAAGGAAATCTATTTTATCTCACAATTTCTAACAATAAGGCAATTTTCATACAATTTTGTGCAAAAGGAGACTCTGAAAATGCAATTTTCAACGATCTAGAGACTCCGTAATTGCAAAATTTTCCTCTCGGCGCCAACCATGGTTGCGCCTTGTGGGCCCCCAAAGCGACATCTCACAGATGTTTTTTTCCCAAAATTGGCAACTATGTATCTAGCACACAAGCGCAGAATCGCTATATTGAAATAACAACCAAACCCGGTACCCAGGGTATTATTTCTCAGACTGTACTTGGGGGGGGGGGGCTGCTTAGCGTGGCAGAGGGGAGAGATGCAAGAAACAGTTATGGAATCTCTTTTCGTACCCACCGCAAGTAGCCCCAATTATTATGCTTTTTGTCCCCGCGGGGGTGAATATGAGCTGATTTTAACCGACAAAATACAAAGTTATCTGCTATAAATTAATATAATGTGTTTCAATACTAGAGTTTAGATGTTAATTACCAGGTAAATCTGTCAATTTTGATAAAAATTTTGAAGGAAAAATGGAAGGATATTTAGAGATTTTTGGAAGGAAATTTTGTGGAAAAAAAGGAAATTTCGGGTTATGGAGAAGGAAATTATTTTTTTGGGGAGTGGAAACACTGGAGTGGAAGCACTGAATTTACACCGCCATATTTTTTATAACCTGAGTATCAGGCCCTCGGTATTATTATTATTATTATTATTATTAAAACTTATTTACAAACAATAACCCTTCAGCCTACGCTGCTTTTAAAGGGGTTGTTTACATAAAATAAAGTACAAAATAAATATTTACAAAATAGTATAAGTATTTACAAAATAGTGTAGTTGACTAGGAGTCTTTACAATTGGATATTTTTTTCAACGTAGGTAATTGTTGAGCTTCGTTTTAAAAGAATGTATCGTCAACTGTTCGTGAACGTCTAAGATTTCGTTAGGTACTGAGTTCCAGGCGGAAGCTCCTCAATATGAAAATGACTTTTTCATAAATGATCTATTAGGTTTATCGAGAGTTAGTTTCCGCCCGTTGTTCCGCATGTGGTGACTTCTATTATCACAGTAGGAGAACATATTACTGATGCACTCCGGCGCTATACCTCGGATAGCCTTAAACGTAATTAGAAATTCTCTTTTTTTAAGAATGTTATTAATTGGATGCCAACCTAGACTCTGGAGGATTGTTTTTGATCTTGTTTCATAGTTTAATCCAGTAATTATACGAGCGGCTCGCTTTTGTAATTTATAAAGTTTTTCCAAATTTGTTTTTTTTCCATCGTTCCAAACTGTCGAACAGTATGTAAAGTAAGGAACTACCAGGGAATTGTAAATACGGAGTGAGTCGTTGTAAGGTACGTGTGGTTTTGCCTTTCTAAGCAGAGCTATTGCACTTGAAAGTTTTTTGCATTGCTCATTAATGTGTTCAGTCCACCTTAGTTCGTTATCAATTGTAATACCTAAGGTTTTTTTTTTGCTTAACTTGTTTAATAATGGATCCGTTTATATGTATACGAATATCAGTGCGAAATTGATTAAGTTTTCTTTTTGAGGCTATTATCATAAATTCTGTTTTGTCTGCATTCAATGTCAACCTATTTGCTTCTAACCAGTCGTTAACATTGGATAAGTCAGCGTTTAGTTTGTGCTCGATTTCGGCTGGGGTCCTTCCTGTGCATGATAGATTGGTGTCATCAGCAAACATGGATGCTTGTGTGTACTCAAGGCACATTGGTAAATCATTTATGTACAATGAGAATAGCAATGGTCCCAGATTGGAACCCTGTGGTACTCCACATTGAACTGTTTCTTGGCCTGACTTGTTATTATTAATGACACAAACTTGTTTTCTGTTGTTTAAGTAAGATGCTAGTAATTTTAGAGGAGTACCCTTTATACCGTATTGGTATAGCTTTTGTAGGAGAATAGAATGATCAACCGTGTCAAACGCTTTTTTAAGATCCAAAAATAGCACTCCATTTGCCATTCCTTTATCCATGTTGAGTAGCCATTGATCTGTGCATTTTAATAGGGCAGTTTCTGTAGAATGATTTGGTCTAAAGCCAAATTACTGTTTACAAATAATGTCGTTGTCATTGATATATGAACTTAATTGGTCGTATATAATCTTTTCAAGGATTTTGGCGACAGTAGGAATTACAGATATAGGCCGGTAGTTTCCGCATTCCGCCTTGTCACCTTCTTTATGAATAGGTATTATTTTAGCAAGTTTTAAATCATCTGGGAAAATGCCAGTGCCCAGTACAAGGTTAAAGATATGTAATAAGGAGTCGTGAATGGCATCTCCTGCTAGTTTAATTAGTTTAATTGGTATTTTGTCTAGACCTGGGGCCTTGTTTAAGTTAGTTTTCCCAATTATTTGAATTAATTCTGTCGTTGTTATTGTTCTTAAGTTAAATTCAGATCTACAAGGCTGAATAGGTTGTATAGGGTCTATGTCTGTAGGAGAAATAACGGAAGCAAGTTTGGGTCCAATTTCTACAAAGTAGTTATTAATTGTATTTGTTATGTTGATATCACCTGTAATATTTTGGTCTCCAAATTTAATGTTATTGATCGTCTGAGTTTTGACCGTTTTGTGGTTTAGCAGTTTGTTTATGTGAATCCAATTTTCTTTGCAACTTTTGCTGTTTTCGAGATTGGTTCTAAAGTAGTGAGTTTTTGCATTACTAATAAGTTTAGTTACTTTGTTTTTACATTTTTTGTATGAACTATGAAAGGCAGAGGAATTTAACATGACTGCTTTCTTTTTTAAGTAGTCGCTGTGAAAGCTCAGTTTTTTAATTTCATCAGTCATCCACGGTTGTCGGTCACTTCTCACTTTTCTCAATCGTATAGGAGCATTTATATCAGCTATCAGTAGAAAAATTCTGTTCCATTCCTGTAGGGCCGTATTTGGATCTGAATGTTCATTAATATGTAGTAAAGCTTGTTTTAAATCGTTTTGGAATTTCGCGTTATTTAGTTTATGGTATTGCCTTGTTTCAATAATTTTGGGTTTTTGTTTACATATTCCGACCTTTCTACAAGTGTAGACTAGGTTGTGGTCGCTTATACCTAGCTCAACAACGTCCGTTGTAGCGGTTTTTGGGTCGTCAGTTTTACAAATTATTAAATCTAAGAGCGTCTTCGTTGATTCTGTTGTTCTAGTAGGCTTTTTAATAAGTTGAGACAATTGATATGTGTTTAGTAATTCTTTAAGCCTTTTTGCCTTACTATTCTCGGTCTCACTGGGCATTAAATCTATATTAAAGTCTCCAGTTATTATAATTTCTTTATTTTATATTAACTTGTTCACAAAATGTTTATTCAAATCGAAATTTTTGTCTCACCATAATTGTTTCTGAAATTGTGAAATTCTGCAGGAAAATTCTTTAAAACATTGAATTATTTTGATTGCTCAGACGTGACGCGCTGCAGCTTAGCGTTCCTGGAATAGGTCACTTGGGTTGCATAATATCACAAAATTAATTTGGTTTCAAAATATGAAAAAAAATATATGTGGCCAGGTTTTCTACTGAAGTGACTAGGAAAAAACTCGGGAAAGCATTCTTATAGTTTTATCCTGCTCTTGCAGTAGTTTGACCATTAGTTTGGAGTTTGATAATTTTAAATCATCTACATGCAAAAACAATCAAAAACAGTTGAAACACTTAAAAGAATAGCAGTTTAATACACTTAATAGCAGTTACAATTAAAAGAACTAAAGATGTAATGTCCATGCAGCTTTTATTAACTAGTGTGAATTTTCCCAATGAGGGCCCACAATTATGCCACAGGGGGAGGGGAGGTGCAGCCCCCCCCAGCCTCCCATGCATCTGGCTAATAATTGTGTGTGCATAGCCTCTGCGCAGGCTATTGTGTGCAGAGCTTTAATACTCTGGCATAGGCTGCCTAATTGAATTCCCATCTGAAACACAGGATTGTTTTTGCAGGAAGATCATTTGGTCAAGAACGGCCACCTTTAACAGATCTTATAAAGAATATTTTGCTAAGATATCCTGATGGTGGTCAGATATTAAAGGTACTTTAATTTGTGCACTTCATGCGTGCTTTTACAATTGTGGTAAAACTTTTAATTGAGTGCCAGCATCAAACGTTTTCCACAAGTGGTCATGTGGGCAAGGCTGTGGGCAAAATGCCCTATTTATATTTATTTCCTAATTAATTTATATATTAATTATTAAGTACTATTTAAAACATGAGCAGGAGTGCTTTATCAGATATAAAACATGAGGCTACGGCGCCGAGTGTATCATCTGATAAAGAGCACCGACAGCGAGTCTTTTAAATCGGGTTTAACTCCTTAAAAATCGGAACAACTCGTCCTAATATGAATTCATTGGCGAAGTAATTTTAAAAAGTAAACGTTGTCTAAGCGGAGAAAATCAGAGCTAAAGTTTATGTAAATGAACATGATTTTTTATCGCATATAAAACCACTGACACGGTAGTGATTTCCCTTGTCTTTCCTCATGAATTATTAATGAGTTTTTAAATACGACTAAAAATGTTGCATTATCGCACATTGATGAAGAATTGTCCAAAGTTGTCAATATTAACAGGTGTTTGCTAATTTTGCCTATTTTCAAATCAATATTACTCGATTTCATCAGGAATTGATTCAGAATGCGGATGATGCCGGGGCAAACGAAGTTAAGTTGCTATTTGATGCCACATCTTATGGAACTGCTTCGTTGGTTTCCCCGGGGTTGGCCTTATTCCAAGGCCCAGCTCTGTATTGTTACAATAATGCCGAGTTCACGGAGGAGGACTGGGAAGGATTACAACGTCTTATGAGAAGTAATAAGGAAAATAACCCGTTGAAAGTTGGCCGCTTTGGAATTGGATTCAATTCTGTTTATCACATCACAGGTATATAATTGTAATAGTTTGCAGCGTAATCTACAATTTTTAGGAAACCGTAAAGGAAATTAAAATTCACCCAAATGAATGTTATTAGACCAATTTATCTAGACGAACATGGGCGTCTGATCATTATTCATTTGTGTATAAACGCAGTAAAAAGAACTTAAAGAAGGAATTTGGTTAAGACGAATTTATATGAGCATGCATGTAGTTTGTCTACCTGGACAAATTTGTGCGCGTTGTTCATCTAGTGACGATGGATTAATGTTTATACACCACATCAGACGAAAAGACGAATATTAGATCTAATAGTTAGAGTAATAAGAGAAAAGATCGTGCATAATTTGTTAATTTTGTTATCAGAATGTTTAGCAGTGCAAATAGAGCTACTTTAGCTTGTTCATCTCGACAGACCGTATTGTACTTACACTAATTAGACGAATGATGTCTGTACTGCATTAATTAACGGATGGTGCGTTTTAACGGATAATCTGTCTCAGCCTAGTTAAATCCAACCAATAAGTTATGTACATTTTTGCAACCACTAAATGAAACAGATGATTGAGCCTGATTGGGATGCTGTATTAGGATTAGTTTGTATATTGCTTATTTAGAACTTGATTTAAAAAGTATTATGACTATTATCACTCGATAAAAATTAGTCTCTGACAGTACTGCTGTCAGTAGCAGTTCCTCCATGTTGTCTCCATGACTGGTGCTATACTGTTGTTTTTTTTTATTTCTTTAGACTTACCAAGTATTGTAAGTGGCAACACGGTTGCGTTTTTAGATCCACATGAGAAGTATTTTGTCCGTGGTGAACCAGGCCAAGCGTTCTCTACTGGAGACCCTTTACTTGCTGAAAACTTCGACCAATTTAAGCCGTTTCACCAGATATTCGACTGCAATCTTAACCAGGGAAACTGTTATAGTGGGACACTCTTTCGGTTTCCATTGAGAACTGAACCATCAAAGTTGTCGACCAAAATCTACACGAGAGAAATGGTCAATACCCTTTTTGATTCATTTAAAAGTGAAACAAGTGCGATTCTCCTCTTTCTGAAAAACGTCGACTCGGTCAGTTTGTATGAACGGGAAGAGCAAGGTGAAATTTTCCATCTTTATACGGCCAGAGTATCTGAGAAGTCAAAGACTGAAGTCAGAAAGAGGAGACAAGAATTGATCCAGGATATCACAATGGAGTGGGATTTTGCCGTGAAAACAACTTTCTACCGTTTGGAAATGGAGAAGGAGTGTCCAGGAAAACCTTCAGAAAAGAAGGAATGGTTCTTAGCGAATCAAGTTGGCGCCAATGAGATGAAACTAGTCGAGTTGGCCCGGGATTTAAAGTTGTTACCTTGGATCGGCATCGCATTGCCAGTGGATGCTAATAACAACATGTCTTCGTTAGGGAGGATTTTTTGCTTTCTTCCACTCCCTCCTGACTGTCGAACAGGATTGCCGGTTCAAGTGAATGGCTATTTTGGATTGACAGACAACAGAAGAGCTTTAAAGTGGCCTGGTCCCGATTGCCAGAATGACGACACGGCTCAGTGGAATCAACTTCTCTTGGAAAAAGTCGGAAGTCAAGTGTACGCCAACCTGATCGTAAATATGGTACGAGAATGTTCTAGCAACCTTCTCCCGCCAGAGTCGCTCGCTAAGTTAGTGTACAGCGCTTTGCCAGTCCACAGCAATGTCAGGCAAGATTGGAAATGTATCCTGCAGCCGTTTTTCAAAACGGTTTTAGCAAGGGAAATATTCTTGACAATTTCCAGAAGAGAATCTCGATGGATCAGCCTTGGGGAAGCCATTATCGATCGCTTGGACGAGACCAAAGGCATGAGAGAAGAAGTAAAAAAAGTTGTCCTGCATACGTTGCTGAGCGCAGGTCAGCCAATTGTTTCACTACCGGGACACGTTATACAAGTTGTTGATCAATATCATCAGATTTCTGGTTGGAAAACTCCTCAGAACGTTACCCCAGCGCTGTTGTGTAACATTTTGCGCTCAAATTTCGATTTTTATAAGTTACCAATGGCTTTCCTAGATCGATTGTTCGTGTTGGAGTATGCCCTGCAGAATGTTCCTGGAAGTATTCCTAGTCTTCACGACGTTCCGCTACTTCCATTAGAAAACCGCCAGTTCATAAAGTTCTCGTTTCCATCCGTCGAAAAGATTTTCATTCCGTCTGAGAAGCACAGTGCCGATCTCTTGCCCAATATGAAGCATCGTCTTCTCTATCGTAACCTACCTCTACAACTACAACAGAAGTTGTACGAGCTTGGTTCTTCCAAAGCCACACAGTTGCAACATCCTACAGCTAATGATATCAAGCAGCTACTCTGGCAAAACCTCCCTAATGATTGGTCCTGCAACTACCTCCCGCAGCTGGAAACCGTCAACTGGAATCCTGATATAGAGAGACATCCTTCTTTGGCTTGGTTAGAATTAATATGGAAGTGGATCAATGAGAATTACCCAAGTCACCTTGGCGAGTTTGAAAGAATGCCACTAATTCCCGTTTCCATCAATCCACCCTCCTCTATGGCTAGACTTCGTTCAGACTCCGCCATCATTGTCACCGAACACCCACTTTGTAATGAAGTACTTTCAGCCGTCGTTCGTGAACTTTTAGTCAAGTCGGCCTGTGTTGTGGTTGAGAAATTACCGTCCTTTTTGAAGCACGATCAAATTCTTCATTATATTGCTCTACCAACGCCGTCTGGTATTCTCAGCGTTCTTTCCGTAGCAAAAGATAAAGCAGTTCAACAACTTTCTGTTGCATCAAACGAAGTCAAACACGAGCTTTGCTGTATTCTGTCAAAGCTAGACCGCGTTAGTTCGGCTCGGATATCATTCATTCGTACGTTACCAATCTTTGAAGCAGTCGACGGAAGCCATTTTGTTTCCTCTGAGACAGAACCGGGCAAACAGCGTCTTGTTGCGCCACGAAAATTCTCGTTACCTGAAGAAATCAGAATTATTGACCGAACAGAGATCTTGTCCTCTTCAAAGGATGAAAACTATCGTTTGCTGGAGAAACTTGGCATAAGAATCGAAAGCACATCTAGTTTGATTGTGATTCATTTAAAAAACTTTTTAAATTCTGGGATCAGAGACGCGGAGAAGGACAACCTCATGCTTTGGATTTTGGAAAGAATAGATATCTTAAATCAAGAAATGCCTGCATTCTTGGGGTTTATTCGTGAACTGGCATGTATTCCAACTGCAAGTGGCAAACGTATAGCACCAAATAAACTCTTTGATCATTCTGACAGACTCTTAATGCGGTTGCTAGAAGGCAACAATGAGGCTTTTCCAAGAAAGCACTTCTTGGAGCCAATACAACGACGTAAAAATGAGCTGAGCGTTCGACGTAGAGAAAACCTAATCGCTCAAGATGTTTTCCTTCTTGCAAATCGAGCAACCGAGATAAGTTTAGACAGAGGTATGGCTCTTGTGGAACTTACGAATCAGCGACCACAGTTACTGAGTGAATACACTGCAGATGTAAGGTTATTGAGTAGTGTACTACGTGAGTTTCCATGGTTACCAAGGGTGCAGGATCGTCCTGCAAACTATCCTGATTTCATGCCGTGGTATGATGAAATGAACCTCTGTAAACCGAGCAGCATGTATCCTGATTCTTTGACTCTGTTAGTTGGTGCGACAGTGCCTGTTTTCAATGACATGTTGATTTCACGTAAAGTACAAGGTATGTATAACGATGTTCACTATGCTTTGTAGAGAAGTATCGCCCGTATTCTAAAAGCTCACTCACACTCACACTCAATGAGTGGAGGTTTAATCTGAGCTTCTCTTGAGTGTCAATGCTGTTTTTAAATAGCTGGAGGGTTAGTGTCGTACCTTACTGTGCGACTACTCACCCTCCAGCTATTCAAAACCAGCATCGGCACTCAAGAGAAGCTCAGATTAAACCTCCACTTATTGGGTGTGAGTGTGAGTGAGCTTTTAGAATACGGGCGATAAAATGTGATAAAATTAGCATAGGCGTAAGGGGCTGATGCTTCCCGGGACCCCCGATGGATGAATTCAATTGTATTGAAATTAATTTAACACATTTTCTGATAAATCTGAATAAATTTCTTGAATTTTAACATTTGACCTTTCGGGGGGGGGGGGCGGGGCGGCATGCCGTTTGTCTCGCACGCCTATGCAAATTGGTTCAAAAGTTCAAATATTGACAATTTTAGAAAATGAGATTTCAACTAATCCTAGGCACATTTGTGTAAAAATATGTTTAAATTGATGGTTTACTTCTCACGTGAGAGGGTTTAAGCTGAGTATGTGTATTATGATGTTATTTACCTTTGTACCCAGGGATCGTACAAACAGCTGGCAGCAGTTTCAAAAAGACAAACACGGTCGTCCCAAAAGGGACCTTTGCCCCCTCCCCTGTTTGTCGCAAAACTGTTGCCAGGCTGTCGATTTTCTGTTCCATTAAAACATAACCGTTTTTAGTCGACGACACTGTTGTAAGTGTCGCGAATTGTTGCCAGCGTGTCGCGACAAGTCTTTTCTTCATGTTTCCATTCGGTCGCAAATACTACTCTGACGACAGTTACAACACGTTCGCGACAGTTATGACCATATGAACCAAAGCATGATTGACAAAACCGAAAAAAATGAAAAATCACGAAGAAAACATATTTTCAGTACAAGTATACGTTGTACCTTTTCAAAATCATAATAGCTACAAAGCCTAACATACGGACTGTATTTCAGTAACGGAGATGAAAAATAAGTGTTTTTATTTTCTTCCAGATTTGCTTGGAATGTCTCACACAAACAACGTATTTAAAGAAGTCATTGAACAGCTACACATAGCTGTTATCTCCTGGACAAACCAGACGACCACACCGTTGATCCTTGCGAAGTTTGAAGAAATGGTTAAGGGTATTTACATGTATCTTTCCCGAGTACCCAAAGACACTGTACAGCATTTGTTACAATCCAAAGGTTTAACCCAGTGGATATGGCAAGGAAGTGGTTTTACCTCACCAGAAAAAGTTGCTTTAGAATCATACTTTCCAAAGAGTATCAACCTTCATCCGTATTTGTTCCGTCTTCCAAACGAACTATTCAAAGTAAAAGAGTTTTTACTATCCCACGGAGTAAAGCCACAATTTACAGTCGATGACTTTCTGGATGTGCTGTGGAATATAAAAGCAAAGCATGATAATGAAAAACAATCGCACGAGGACGTGATGCAAGATTTAGACCATTGTCGTGCAGTGTTAGAGTGGATTGTGAGAAGCGATGGCGAGCTATCTGAAGAACGGCGCTGTAAACTTCTCATTCCCGTTCAGACCAAGTCCGATAAGCTGCAACTCGAACTATGCAATACGTGTACTTACTGTGATCGTGACTTTTTAAGACGAGATGTTTCCGAACATGAGGTTTCTATTCAGTCTCATTTAATTCACAAAGCAATTCCCGATGATTTGGCTAGTCGTCTTCGAGTTCCGCGTCTCTCAAGCTGCCTCGTAGCAGGCAACTATGAGCCACTGACCACGCGGTTACGTAACATCCTGCAGCAGTACAAAGAAGGAGTAGCGATTTTCAAGGAGATTATTCAAAATGCAGATGACGCTCACGCTTCCAAAGTGTGCTTCGTCGTTGACTGGCGGGAGAATCCCGGAGAACAATTACTTACTGAAGAACTAGCTAAATGCCAGGGTCCTGCTCTTTGGGCTTATAATGACGCCATGTTCTCTGAGGACGACTTTAAGAATATCAACAAGCTTGCTGGTGAAACAAAAAAGAACGACTTGGACAAGGTGGGTCGTTTTGGTCTTGGCTTCAACTCTGTCTACCACCTCACTAATGTCCCAAGTTTTGTAAGTGGCGAACACCTGGTGATTTTTGATCCGAATATGAATCACATCACTCATTTAATGGACGACAAGATGAGAAAAGGTGGACTTATGTTAAGCTTGGTGGAAAACAAAGATGTTCTATCGGCATTCCCAGACCAATTCTCTCCTTACAACCAGTTGTTTGGTTGCGACATGACTGGTACAGGCACTTTTCACTTCGACGGAACATTGTTTCGGCTTCCTTTTCGTACGAACGTACAAGCACAAGAAAGTGAGATTTCGAAAGAACCTTACACGCGAAACAACGTGAACAACCTTATGAAGTCATTGAAAGAAAATGTCGCAACCCTTTTGCTGTTTGCCCAAAATGTTAAGGAGGTTCGAGTTTTTGAGATTCGGAAAGATTCTAACCCAAAAACGTCGTTAGGGCGACCCATCATCAGCATCACAAAATCGGTGGAGAAAACTTTGTACACGAATATTACTGAGGGAACGATCTTGCAAAATTCGTCAAATTGGTTGTCAAACAATCGAAAATCGACAGTACAAGCCGCATCAGAAGGACCCCGCAGTACCGAATTGATAAAGATGAATGTATCAATGGTGAAATCTGACCTAAGTGATGTATCGGAACTTGTTCAAATAGAAGACACGTGGCTTGTTAATTCTTGCACAGGTGGGAAGTCTTCCCTTCAGGTAGCGCTAAGTGTTGATGGTATCAGGAACGCCGTTATCCCCGTCACTGGGATAGCTGCAAAGATAACGCATTCAAATATACAAGACGTAAAAATATTCCCCGTACGTGGAGAAGTATTCAGCTTTATGCCACTCTCCATCGAGTCTGGGTTTCCTGTGCATGTCAACGGCTTTTTCTCGGTTTATTCAAATCGGCGGCGTCTATGGGAAGAAGATGTGGGTGAATACCAATCGTTTAAATCATTTGAAGCGAAGTGGAACGCGGGTTTAATGGAAGATTCGTTAGTGCAGACTTATCTTCAGCTGCTGCAAATACTTACGTCCTACAACGACAAGCAATACGAGTTCCACAGTCTTTGGCCCAACCCAACAAAAGTAAACTACCCAAAAGCGTGGAAACCGTTTCTTTATTCATTTTTCAACAAAATCATCGACGAAGAGTGGCCGTTATTTTATTGCAACGAAAAATGGAGAAAACTTCAAGATTGTCTTATTCTTGATCCAGAACTTGACAAGGTTGCTGATTGCGTCACCATTATGAAACAACTTCGTGAAAATGTCCTATTAATTCCCCAAGACTTCATAGAAGCCTTCAAATTTAACGGGAAAGAAGCCTTTATCAAAAGGTACATGCTAACTGAAAATAGATTCTTGAGAGAATTCTTTTTTCCTAGAATTTCACAGATACCAAACCAACTTCGTAACTTAGTTCTGGTTCACATCCTCGATCGTCGATTAAGTAATCATCGAACCTATGATGATCTTTTACGGGCCTATCCAAGTTTCAGTTGTTCTGAGGATAGAACGTGGCTGCGCAAACCAAGCGAACTGGTCCATCCTAAAGGAAAAGCTGCCTGCTTGTTTTCCGAAGAAGAAGGACGATTTCCGTTGGACAACCGCTTTTTAGAGAAAGAACGGTCATTGATGTTGGGAGAGTTAGGAATGGCTATTGACGACCTTCCATGGTGTGCTTTGTGTGAAAGAGCTGAATGGGTTTCCAAGAATTGCGATGTCAACAGAGCAGGACATCTCATTCAATACATGAATCAAATGCCTCCAGGATGTGAAATAACCCCCGCAGAAACAATAATTCTACGAGTTGCTCAGTTCCTTCCCATTTTGCCAAAGCCAAAAGACTACCCATTTCCCTGGAAGTCAGACGAATACCGCACGACGATGCATTTAGCTGCCGCCGTGAATCTCTATCCCGAACAACATAAATTCCTTGTTGGCTCCACTCAACTCATCATGGATGAATCATCTAATAGTTCAAGCGTGCCAAACAATTATCTCAAGAAAATCCTTGGGTTATCTTCCAAGCAACCTGAATTGTCAGATGTCATAGCACAACTTGATCGAGTCATCCAGCAGTCTCATTTGCTCACTAGGGAAAAGAAGGAATGTACATGTATGGCAATATACGACTTCTTTCAAAAGATTGTAACCACTGAAAAATACAAGTCAAAACAGTCTTTCCTTCGTGAACAGCTTGAATGCCGACAGTGGATGCTCGTTAAAAATCAAATGGTGGATCCAAGACTAGTGGCAAAGAACTGGAACAAAGATGATAAATCAACATATCTGTTTTCCCTGCCTCTTAATTACAATACGAAATTCAAAAGCCTCGTCCGTTGGTACGGTGTAAAGGACAACTTTTCCCCGGAAGATTTTATCGAAGCAATATTAAAGCTTAAACAAGACACTGGTCACAAGAAACTGGCAGAGAACAAAATCCGTACCCTTATTGTTCTTATTGAAGAAGTATTTTGCTTAACCTACACAAAGCTTCCAATTGCTTTGCCTCTTCCTAGTGTGGACTGTCAGCTGTATGACGCTAATGAACTTGTAGTTAACAGTACTCCTTGGCTGGAGACGGATGGCATGAATAAGCTTGTACATGGGAAGGTTCCGGTATTGTTAGCATACAGATGTGGTGCAAAGGAGATTAGAAACGCAGATTTAACTCGCTGCTCTGAACCTATTGGTCAGCCATTTGGACAGTTTGAGAAACCGACTTATCGTTTAAAGAACATCCTGAAAGCCTGTCCTTCTGATGAGGGAATATTGAAGGAACTTCTTCAAAATGCAGATAATGCAAAGGCCACCGAAATACATTTTGTGTTTGACCCACGAACCCATGGCACTAAACACGTTTTCTCTGCTAACTGGAAAGACCTTCAAGGCCCTGCTATTTGTGTCTACAACGACAAGCCATTTTCCAAAGAAGATATTGAAGTTATCCAGAAGCTTGGAATAGGAAAGAAAGTGAACGATCCTGCGAAAACTGGACAGTATGGAATTGGATTTAATGCAGTGTACCATCTTACTGATTGCCCATACTTCATTTCCAATGATGAAGTAATTTGTGTTTCTGACCCGCACACAGCGTATGCTCCTGGAGCGAGTGAAAGGAATACCGTACGGTTGTTCAACCAGCTCACCAAACTGTTCCGAATAAATTACCAGGATGTTCTATCTGGTTTTTTGGGTGATCTTTTTAATCTTAAAGGAAGTACGATGTTCCGTTTTCCACTTCGTTGTAATGCAAAACTTCCGTCTGAGATTTCTACTGTCCAGTGGGATGAAAGAAAAGTGAAAGAGCTTTTTAATTTATTCCGAGCATCCGCCAAAGACATGCTGCTGTTTCTGAACAATGTTACCAAGATCTCTGTTTCTGAAATAAAGAATGGAGAACTTGAAACGTATTCTGTGATATGCGAAGTTTCTGATGGTGATAATCGAGCTGGATTCTTTGAAAAGATCAGGGCATACAGTAAAGTGGCAACACAACAAATACCATGGCAAGAGATCCATTACGTTATGAAGATATCGGATACAAATAAGGTAAAAAAAGACTGGCTGGTCACACAGAGCTTGGGGTATATTGATAGGGAAAATATCTCGGAAATCCCAAATGGTACTAGAATGGGATTGTTACCACGCGCTGGTATTGCCACCCTTTTGCCTTCAACTGAACCTCGAAATTTTCGATTGCGACATTCCGTATTTTGTGTACTTCCACTTCCAGTTTCTACCAAATTTCCTGCTCATATTAATGGCCACTTTGCGCTCGACTTGGCACGCCGTGGTCTGTGGCATGACCCTAAAAGTTCAGACGAACGAGTTGTTTGGAATGACTTCATGAAACGTCACGTAATTACTTCAGCCTATGCCAGTGCGATTTCTCACGCGAGAGTGCACATCCTTGGATATCAAGCTGAATCTGATACTTATGGCACGTTTTTCTCCAAAAAGAAAACTGAGGACGGTCTCAAATGGTATCATCAGTTGTTCCCATCCATATCAGACCTTGATGCAGCATGGAAGCCTGTTGGAGAATCGCTTTACAGGAATTTCTTGCCGATGCTTCCTGTTTTACCTGTTGTCATGTCAGTTCCGGAAAGCAAAAAGTCTATTACAGAGGAATTGCTCTCGTCTTACCCCTCTGCATTTGCAGAGACTGATCTGAATCCTGTTAATGTTACGTGGTGTAAAGTCAGTGATGCCTACTTTTGTACCCCTGAATTGTCGTGGTTACTCGAGAAGACATTGCTGGACATAGGATTCCGCCTTCTTTCACACACTCCAAGAGCAATTCACGAGAGTTTCAAAGCAGTTAAATATTACCAAGATGTAAGTCCAGAACAAGTACGGGAATTCCTCCGTAATCACATGAAAATGAAAGATGATTTACCTAAGGTGGTCAAGAACACTGTTCTTCAGAAGAATAGCAATGTTTATGAACTCATCAAGTATTGCGCTTTAGCTGAGGACTTTCTCGAAAGTCTCGAAGGCCTTCCTTTGCTTCTCACACAAGATAGCATACTTCGTTGCTTCCGTCGGGATCTCATTGTTTTCTGCAGCAGATTCCATCAGCTGTTGCCCTCCAGACCAGACCTCTTCCTGCACGATTCGCTTTCAAGTCTTTATAGAAGCGGTATAGAGAAGTGTTGCAATGTTATGAAAACATTTCGTTTATCAGATCTTGCCAAATATCAAGCTGTCGTTTATCCATCATCATGGATTAACACCGCTTCCCACCAACCTTGGAATCCAGACGAGCAAAGCAACACATTTCCATCAAAAGAATGGCTTATATTACTTTGGGAGTTCATTGATGCTGTCTCTAGTAAAAGAGAAAGTGAAAGCGACATCCTGAAGGAAATCGTGAATTGGCATATAGTTCCAACCATACATAACTGTCTAGTTCCCGTTTCCATGGGCAAAACAGTTCTCAATGTAAGCACAGATCTCAACAGCGATTCAACTCAGGACAAAACCATAAGAGCGTTGTTAGTAAAGCTTGACTGTCCGCAGTTAAAGGATACCATTTTGATCTCTTCATTTCCCAAATTATCAAGTTCTGGTGGAGGTACCGCAATACGCAAGCACTACCTTGCAATGGTTCAATCAACGGAGGACGTCCTGGGACTGTTGCACCAGACTTTGAACGGTGGTATGAAAAAAGAAGCTACACTTGCTAATCACGAAATTGAACGACTCCTCATGTTTCTACAAAGTGATTTTTCAAGGCTCTCGTGCTCTCTTCTGCGAAATCTTCCATTTTACGAAACCATCAGTTGCACTTACACAAGGCTTTCTGGTAACCATGCAGTGTTTGAAGTGCCAGATGACGTCCCCGGGGATGACCTTCAAATTCTTTCCTCCGTAACATGCAGTATCTTCTTACGCCAAGCTCCCAAACTCGCGGATCTTTACCGTTATATTGGAATCGAACAAGCATCATCTATGGACTTCTACATGGGTATAGTTCTAAAGTACTTCAATCATTTAACACCTGAAGGAAGAGTAAACCATTTAAACTTTGCGAGGGATTACCTTCTGCAGAAGCATTATAGTGGTTATAAGGCTCTACTGTCAGTCATGAAGCAGTTGCCCTTTATTCCCGATCATTTAGGCATACTCCATCCAGCAAATGAGTTCTATGACCCAAGTAATGAAGTATTTGAGAAATTTATACCAAATGAGAAATTTCCTCCCACGCCGTTTGATTCCATTGAGTGGAAAGAATTTTTAAAGAAAATTGGTCTCCAATATGCCGTCACTGAGGAACATTTTTTATCATTTGCCACACAACTACAGGAAGAAGCTTGCAATCCAACTTCAGATGAGGCGAAAGAAATCCTGGAAAAATCAAGTATTCTGGTTTCCCATTTGTTCGAAAACAAAAGTTTGCACACATCAGCATTTCTTTCCAAAACTTCTAAAATTAAGTTTGTTCCCGCAGCCAAAATAATTGAGTTGTATCTTGCTATCCATCCTTCACATACAGAAAAAATTCTCACCTGTTTTAGGGGCTCCGTGGTTGAATTGCATACAGCCCTTGTATGGTCAAGTGCATCCTTAATAGCAACCTCAGCAGTTCCATATCATAGAAATGATTTGGTCAACATGCTCGGAATACATACTGAACCTCCACACGAACTTGTTATCGCGCATGTCAGTAACCTTTCTGGTCGTTTTCCTGCGACGAGAAACGAAGAAATTCCGTCTGCATTGCAACCAGTCCTTCTTGATGTTATGGAAAAGATATACAGCTATTTTATGTATTCTTGCCCAAAAACGTCTGGTTCACCTGATTCAACTTGTTCACCTAAATGTCAGTTGACAAGGAATGCCCTTTGCAATGTTCCTGTGATATTGGTCGACCGTCATACGCTCGTACGCGGTAACCAGCTTGCATTCAAAGGAGTATGGGACTGCATGAACCCTTACATGTTCGAGGTTCCTCGCAAATTTCAACATTACGAACACTTCCTAAAATGTCTTGGAGCTCAGGAGCGCCCAACACCGCTTCAATATTTATCAGTACTAGAAGCAGTCAAGAGAAGTTGTGGGGATAATCAAATGTACCCTGGAGAGGTTCGTGCAGCTGTCGAAGCAACAAAAGGTTTGTTTGTACGGTTGAGCAAAGATAAGAAGCGTTCTCAAACACGTGGCGGCTCCCCCCCGAATGCAGAACAATCCCTGGTAAATGTTCGAACTCTTTACCTCCCGACCGAAGATAATTATCTCATGCCGTCGTGTGAAGTTTTTGTCAATGATACGGAGAAGAAAGAACGTTTGAAAGATTATTGGAAGGACTTGCTCATTGATTTGACCATGAGGAATCAAGAACGTCCTGGAAAACTTGTTGAACTGTTGCCGAGTCCTTTGAGAGTGAAAAAGTTGAGTTCTATACTAAATAAAGAGTTAAGCCCAAGTTGCATCGACAAGATTTGTATTCTTGATCAAGATCCAAACACACTGTCCTGTGACTTCATCAAACGATATCGCGACATCATCTGTTCTCCGCAATTCAGTGAGGCCCTGATAAGGTTGTACAAGTTCCAAGAAGAAAAAGTCAGGATTCCAGTGCAGGTAGAAAATAATCTTAGAAGTCTTGAGAAAGATGTCAAAGTTTCATGCATGCAGACTGTTGAAGTGCGGCTAGTTAGAAGGGCAACCATGGAAGCGGTTCCAGACAGCGTGACGGAAGTTTCTACTTTCTGTCAAGAAACTCCTAATGGTTTTTGTATCCTAATTAAACACGGCGGAGACGGACATCGCGATGTATTACACGACAGATTAAGTTCGTTTATTTCTCGGATCACTGGGCAACACATCACCGAAGCTAAGTGGCGTTATCTGATGATGATCCTTTGTGTGAAAGACCCCAGTGAAATATCGAAGACCTTGGATGATGCTCGGGTACCACAAAGTATAAGCAGCATTTCCAGAGAACCAGGGAATCCAATTCCTGGACACTATCTTTTGAAAAACGATATAAACTACCATCTCTGTGAAGGTGAATGGGTTGGATATGAAGTAAGAGAAGAAGATGAAGAAAATGAAGCGGTGTATGTGTACGCCAAGATCATTGAACAAACATGCCAGGGTATGTGTTTATTGATCTATAATACTGAATAATACTATTTAAGTAGTGTCTTTGTGGTATGTAGTTGAGTACCGCAATAATAATTCCTGTTTTAACATGATTTATGTAGCTCTGAGAAATTAAAATACGATGCATTTTTGCAGATAAGCTACAGAGTTTCTCAGCGCTCCGTTGTCGTTTAACATGCCTTTAATCGATGTTTAATTCAAAATTTTAAATGTCATCCTTTTTTGCTCTTTGGTGCTTTGACGAAAATTCAAAGGAATGAACATCTAATCAATATTTATAAATCGGATGCAGATCTTGTCCTCCTTTGCAAATTGATTTTCTCGGCTAAACGCCAATATAATTATAAAATTTGATTACTTATACATGCATTTTACCCAGAGACTGAGCCGTCATATTCAGAGGTTCTTAATCGATCACAACTTCCAACCTCATGACAAGAAAAGAACTACTGTGTATAAAATATATGAACCACCACTATTTAATTTATTACCAAAGCCCGTTGTTTGCGATCATAATTTTAACTTAAGGAGGATTTCTGAACAATTATATTTATTTAATGGCACTACTGCTTGTAGAACAAAGAGAGCACAATCCTTTTTTACCTTTAAATATTTTAACTAGATTAGTATACTATATTAGTTCTGTATTTACATTGTGTAAATACCTAGATTTGATTAGTTTTTATTGTAAAGCCCTGTTTAAACGGATCCAACATTGTTGGTCCAACATCATCCAACATTTTTGAAATAATGGCTCAAACGGCTCCTTTTCAAATATTTTTATCAAGACTAGGTTTAGAGTTTGAGTAAAGCTTATCTAACCAAAAAGATTTGAAAGAAAAGCAGTCATATCTAGTATAGTAACATTGTTGGATGATGTTGATTCAACAATGTTGGATTCGTTTAAACCGGCCTTAAGGTAGCTTAAAAGCTCACTGATTCAGTTATTGTAACTGCGAGAGAGTTTTTAATAAACTACTTAACAAATATTTTAAATAATATAAAACATTCCTTAAACATGAAGGACGGCCACGCGACGACGACAGCCAAAACCACTGATCTTGTTGAAATTAATTATTGCAAAGAAAAACTGTTGTGTATTATCCGTGTAAAATCCGTGGTTTCTCGTTGTGAACAGAGTGAGGAAGGCACCTAAAGCTCCTGTAGGATTTGTAATTTCATTTCTACAATATTATGAATTTCATTGTATTGATAAAAGTCGTCTGTCACATCGCCGTCTTTGCTTGCTTATGGTCCTGTGAATTAACTGTTTCAGCCAAATGCTGGGCTGGTCGAAGTTTATTTGGACTCTAAAATTTCAGTACATCGTAGGCGGATTTATCACGAACTTCTACTTTTATAAAAGGATATTAATTAATGATATTTTTTAGGTGATGGTACATTCGCATTTAATAGCAAATACCTGATTGATATTGGCGAGGAAGAGCAAGTTGAAGTTAGTAAGCTGAAACTTTACAAGTTTGATCGTGAAGAACGAACCGCAGGAGGAGCTACCAGTTCGAGAAACGAAAGGATGTGTCCGGTGCCTTATGAAGTTCCTGAACATGAAACTGGCAATTCTAGTCAAGGAACCGCTTCTTGTGAGCCAGCAACGCTCGAAGAAGCAAAAAGAGAGGTCGCAGAAGCGCTGAAAGAGATTTGGCAACTTTCAGAGTCGGAAAGATCGAGTGCTATAAAACGTTTGATCCGACGATGGCATCCTGACAAAAATAAACATCGTGAGTCCTTCGCTAACGAGGTAACAAAATTCTTGTTCAATGAGGTGGAACGTTTGCAAAGGGGTGGAATACCTGACTACCGTCCTGAAGCTGCCAATTCAAACCAATCTTCAAGAAGACCATCAAGACCCACCAAGACCCGCCAAGGAACCGCTTCTTGTGAGCCAGCAATGATCGAAGAAGCAAAAAGAGAGGTCGCAGAAGCGCTGAAGAAGATTTGGCAACTTCCAGAGTCGGAAAGATCGCGTGCTATAAAACGTTTGATCCGACGATGGCATCCTGACAAAAATCAACATCGCGAGTCCTTAGCAACTGAAGTAATGCGATTCCTATTCAGCGAAGTGGAGCGTTTGAAAAGGGGTGAGGTACCTGGCTAGCGCCCTGTTGAAAAAGCTTAGTACAATATATATAGTAGGTTTAAATTAGGCATGACCGCATAACACAGTCTGACTGGTCGGATAAGAAATTCCATCTCTATTGTTGATTGCAAAGATTTGGGCCAAGTTCTTAAGTGTATTCCATTATTAATAGAAATAATTTGCAAAACTTTTGAAATGTTTGTAGCATCATATAGTTTAACAAAATAATGTAACCAAAATATTTTTTCAACAAATAAATGATCTAACAAAGTTCGGCACCGTTTTTTGGTACGCCTCATGTTAACATGTTCGAAATGTCACCCTGCCTTGAATATGCTAAGAATATAGGATGTATGGATAAACACATTACTACGGCTCAAAATTTGAAGTTCTCAGCACTATCCAATGGCAATGCGATACTAATAACTTGGATTAAAATCTGGTATCCCACATTTGGTAACAGATGAGTAGTAACCAAACAATTAAAGTTGAGACAAAACAAGCTTTCAATTGCCAAAAAGAAACAGCGTCATGCACTGAACAATAAATATTTTAAGCTATATTTTTGTTATGGCTCTTTTATGTATTTTCTGCTGGGCATTAATATTTATGTATACTATTTTAAAAACTCGCAGGAGTGTTTTATTAGGTTTAAAGGCGCGCGAGTGGCTTTAGACATAATAAAACACGACCTGCGAGTTTTTTAAATCAAAAACGTTTGCATAATAAGTCAAATCTTTATATAAAAATCTTTATATAAAAATCTTTATATAAAAATCTTTATATAGTTTGCATAACAATGGTCTTTTGTTAAAGTGTTCTTTAGCTGGTATAAAGACGTATGCACGTGACTAATTTCTTACTCAAGATTGGATAATTGCTTCATGAATTATTAATGAGTTTTTGAACTTAAGATGAGACATTTAATTCTGCATCGCAAACGAACACTCAAATTTAATACATAGGTGAGTTTAGGAGATTTAACGAGGTTATATAGGCTGTATAAAGGACGAGTAAAGCTGACAAGACGGAGGCTTTCACAGCAAGTGGGATGGAAACCATCGGAGAAACTTCGCTTGCTTCACAGGCTCACAATTACTTTCAAGCTTACATGGCCATATTGATATAGATTTGGACGTTGCATTTAACAGACATTCACAATCATGACACTAAAGTGACTAGAAGATGCAACGATGTGCGTCTGTCGCTATAACTAAATGTAATTGGGGCCAATAAAGGTCTCTAGAGATACCACATTTTTAAGGATTGGAACAATTTGCCCAATTTTACTCCAGAAAACGATTGCCTTTTAACTTTTAAACACTGTAGTATTTATATATTTAAATTTCTATAATGTATTAGCTATTGTGATGCATTTGCAGGACCTTCCTGAAAACCACGTATGTGATGGAAGCTTCCTGTTAAAATATTAAAATCTCAGAGTTGGGCTAATTTTTGAATAAAAGCTCTTTCTCTGCGCAAGTCAGCTTCACAAAAGTATTCATCGTTCATACCAAAAGTGGCACTGCGCAGAATCGTTCATACCAAAAGTGGCACTGCGCAGAATCGTTCATACCAAAAATGGCACTGCGCAGAATCGTTCATACCAAAAGTGGCACTGCGCAGCTGTGCATGGTAGAAATATTAGACCTAGAATGTGTGCTTGGTTTTAATATTTCTATGGTCCGCACGCAGGTGAGTCAGGTGACTAACCGCAAATTAACCCACTGCGACTGCAAGAGACGTACACCAATATTTCATAGAATTTTTTTTGTGACATCTATGTTTAGAAATGTAGAAAATGCCACAAGCGGAAAATGTCTGCGAAAGATAAGCAACTAAATTATTTTATTATTGAGAAAGCAGAGAATAAACTATCAACGTTTCACCGCTTTTAAAGTGCCTCATTGTGGTCAATTTATGCATTATTAATTGCATTGGTCATATATGATACGTTTGAAGTGCAAAACACGGTCGACTGGGCTGATACAAGACCGGCGAACTGTCCTGAGAAGTTAACTAGGGGATTCATATTAGAAGACTGGATTGCCATCTAAGACGAAAAGCTGATGGATTTACATCGATGAATATGCCAAACGAAAAGTAAAACCATATAGGACGACATAAACCTGAAAATCACGAAACCGTCTTTCCTGGCAACCTTATATAGTAGTTGATTCGTCTTGATTTATGCTTGGCGTCTGATATAAATTTACAGGTAACTAGGTAAGACAAGTTTCTCACTACAAACTTCCCCATCATTCAGATAGGAGAGAGTAACGGAAAAGTTGAGACAGTTTTCACACGTTGTTTACCGGCGAATTTATGTATGGACGAGTGGAAATAAAGTCTTCCTGTATGAATTCAGCTGCACGCGTAAAAATCTCACATCTTGTAGCAAGAATGCCAACAAGTCGTCAATAAGTTGTGTTCGCACTGCTTGTTCCAAGTTGTCAACAAGTTTGGAACAAGCTGTTAACAACTAGTAACAACCTTGTTGATACTATCAGACTCGTTGCAAGGTTGTTTCAACAAATCTGATACAGTCACGATCACAATATTGTTACAACGTTGTGTCATCAACCTTGAAACATTCTTGTTACCTTGTAACAAACTTGTTACAACAACTGGGAACAAGCAGTGCAAACACAACTTGTTGACAGCTTGTGAACAGATTTGTGACAACTTGTTTGCAGACCTGGAACAACTTGTGCGTTTTTACGTGTGTAACCTTTATCAATATTCTGCGGCGCAGGCTATCTGACTAGACGAACCAAGCAGACAGTTCACCTAATTGACGAAGGAACTGCCAAGTGACTATTATTCATTGTCCAAGTTCATCCAAATAGACCATAAACCATAACCTATACACTCAAAATACTTGCACCATCCTGTATTCAATAACGAACCAATCCGATACTATTCACGCGGCTCTCAAAAACACGCGCGTTGCCGTTGGTGACGGTAAACTGTATATCAAGCTTGCTGTTTGGAGCTCGTTTTTTTTGGAACGCCCGTTACTGTAAACGCTGACATTTTATTTAGAAATGCTGTTGAAAACGCCATAAAAAGAAAATGCCTGTGAAAGGTAAGTAATTAAACAATTTGTATTAAGTGAGCTCATGAAGAGTACACAAGAGCCGGTTTGTAATTATAGCCGCATCCACGAGCGCTATTCGATTCCAGGACAATGCCAGGGATAATATGCGTGTATACGTATTAATTATAAGTTCGAAGAATTCTAACATTATTCCAACAAAAGATTATTGTTTCGCAGAATAGAATCAGGAAAATCTACAGCTAAACAGTCTAAATTTGATATAAAACGAAAGTAGTTTCGTTTTCAGTATATTTGTGTCAGACTAGTGTCTTTATTTGTTCTACCAGTACCACCGTTAATTACTACTAATACTATGTCTTGTATGTGAATATATATTAAACTCCAGGAGTCGAGATAAAATTATATATGTATTTCGTGTATTAAGTGATCAATATCTAGATGATAAATGTTAACAAAACGAATATTTCACACGCTAACCGGCGAAATTTCAGTGATCGCAGATCGTTTTCCCGGAACCAAAGCCAGCTGGTAGTTCCTGGAATAGGTCACTTGGGGTTGCGTAATACAGACTCAAAAGAGTATATTACAAAATTTGGTTTCGAAATATATGAAATACTGAAATGTATACCATTTACAGTAAAATGACAATCGTTATCATGGATATAGCATGTTTTAAAGATATTGAGGAAAAGCCATGAACAGTATATAAAATCTTTATGAGTTGAATATTAAATATTTTATACCCATATACCATCTATAAAAAGTGTCTACTGAAACATTTGCATATATAGAGCTGAGTCACAGTGCAGATTTTGCAGGATCAAAATTTTATTAAAAAATTATGCAGCATGTGGGATTTTATATCATTGAGGGTGGAAGGATTGAAAGATTAGCTGGGAATTGGCCATGAAAGCAACCAGTGACGTGGCCATGCAGGTATAAAAACTTAAGACACATAATAGTGTACAATACAATACAATACAATAACATTTATTTAACGTGATCAAAATGACAGCTTGATTGAATTTCCATCTGAAACACAGGATTGTTTTTACAGGAAGATCATTTGGTCAAGAACGGCCACCGTTAACAGATCTTCTAAAGAATATTTTGCTGAGATATCCTGATGGTGGTCAAATATTAAAAGTGAGTTTTCTTTGAATTCTTTAGTAGGTATAAAGAATGCGCAAGTTATGCAACAATTAAACCATGCATGCATCTCCTTGGATTAATTCTGAATTAAAGTGTGAACTGTTAATGCAAAAGATATGTTAATTAAAGAAAAAAGCTACCAAATCAAATTCACCGGCTGCATCAGACTAGCTGCAATTCAAAGTGAAAAGAAATGCAGTCAATCATAAAAAAAACAAAAAATGCAGTACTTTAAAAATGAATTGAAAAATAATTCAGGAAACTCAAAAGGTACTTGGAAAGTGCTAAACACCCTGATGGGTAGAAAAGCTAAACAAATAAGGCTAAAGATATAGCAAACACACTTAATACTCATTTCACAGAAATTGGTCCTAAACTTAAAGCATCAAAATTAAATACCATTGGCATCCAACGAGAAACATTTTATTTACAGATTACCTAAATAAATCTATTATACAGTATTTGGGTTTGAAAAGATTTTTTTCACCAAGTTGAAGCACTACTAAATTCTTGTGATGCAGCAAAAGCAGTTGGAATGGAGTAGATAAATTTCAAACAAAATTTTGAAAATCTCAGCTCGATCCATATATAATTAATTAGTGAGTCATTTGCTGAACTTTTCAACTTATCCTTAGACCTTATTAAGTAAATACATTTCCCAGCGACTGGAAAAGGCAAAAGTGACTCCAATATTTAAAAAAGGAGATCGTTGTGAATCTATAACAACTATAGGCCTAGCTATCTCGGTTATTTCTGCAATTGCTAGAATATTTGAGAAACTTATGTCTGAACATGCAGTTCTGTTATGCCCGGGCTCCAGTAATTATACAAGCTGCATGATTTTGCAACTTTTGGAGTTGATTGGCTAGTGTCATATCAATACTGTCCCACACAGCTGCTGCAGTGATCAAAACGAGGTTTTTACAATCGTGTAGTATATGTTAATGAGAAGCTGCTGATGCATGCCGGGGCTCAAATATGGTTTTGCCTTTTTCATAACATGTAAATATGTTATCATTTTATTTTTTATGTTTTGAACATGACCTTTCCATGTTAGGTTTTCATCGACTTGGTAAATCATTTATATAAATTAGAAATAGAAGTGGTCCTAAAATAGTTCCTTGTGGGACCCCACAAGAAAGTATTTGTGCATCTGATAAAACTCCATTCACATGAGTCTCAACTCCGCACATGCATTTGCATTCGACCACTGAGATAAGATTTAAACCAGTTAATTGCTGGTTGATCTAAGCCAAGTTACTGTAATTTATCCAGTAAAATTTCATGGTCAACAGTATCAAATTAGCCTTTTTAAGGTCAAGAAATACTGGGCTCCGTTGATTAGTTTTCTGTCAATTAAAACAGCATTCGTTTGTCAAATCTAGCATTGCTGTTGCAGTTGAAAACATTGAACGAAATCCCGATTGTTTAGGATTATTAATCAAATTGTGTTTGTGGACATAGTTTTCTAATTGAATGCATGTACACATATATCCGATGTTTTTTCTGATTTGGGTCAGTCAACTCTGGCACACAACCGCAAAGTTCGGAAAGCTATAATGATGCACAAAATTATGAATGGAAACTCTCCTTCATATTTATCTGAAATGTTTGAGAAGCAGTCTGGCTCATATTACTTATGATTTGAGGTCATCTGATTTAAATGTTCAGATACCTAATGTTCGAACTGAATGTTATAAAAAAAGCTTTGCAGTTTCTGCGGCTTTCCTTTGGAACTCCTTACCAAATCAACTTAAAGAGGAGAAAAGTTTATCAAAATTTAAGACACAAATTAAGAAACATAACTTCTGCATTGACAACTTGTAAATTCGCGATTTCACTGTAAATATACTTTGTATCTATTATTATATTTGATTTAGATAGAAAAACAAAAACAAAAAATGTAAATATAGTTCTATTAAAACATACACGACTTCTAGGTAGACCAGACGTAATAATTTAACATTTGTAAATATTATTTCTGATAGAACCACCGTGTTTAAATAAAAATTATCTAATCTAATCTAAATTACGGTGGCCCACAAGTATCACGGCAAATGTTTTTAAAATTACGTTAACATAAAGTTCAAATTGACTGCAAAACAAAATTTATTGAACGGATAATCTTTATATTTGCTACAACAACAATTTAATGTTGACAGCAAAATAAAAAGTCACGGCAAAATAAAAAGTCACGGCAAAATAAAAACTCACGGCAAAATAAAAAGTTACGGAAAAATAAAAAGTTACGGCAAAATAAAAACTCACGGCAAAATAAAAACTCACGGCAAAATAAAAACTCACGGCAAAATAAAAACTCACGGCAAAATAAAAACTTACGGCAAAATAAAAACTCACAGCAAAATAAAAAGTCGCGGAAAAATAAAAACTTACGGCAAAATAAAAACTCACGGCAAAATAAAAACTCACGGCAAAATAAAAACTCACGGCAAAACAAAAACTCGCGGCAAAATAAAAACTCACGGCAAAAGTCACTCACTCAATGTTTCCACTTTGGAGAGGATATCCATTTCAAGTTTCATTATTTTCAAATGAAATTTTTTCCGAAATCTGAAACGGAGATATGTCAATACTGTCAGTTTGTCACTCCATGCACATGCAATGATATTTTTTACTATTACGTCGTTTACTGTGACAAGGGTGTTGGCGATAAAAATATAAATATATAAATTTGGGATGAATTTCAAAGAAGAGATTTGATGGAAAATGAAATTTGGATAACGTCGATGAATTTTTTAATGGTTAAAGTGGAAATCGCAATTGTTTGTTTGGTTGTTCCGTTGTTGTTGTGGAACTTTTGTGGTGAAAGATTGTCAAAATTTAATAACGTTTCGTCTCCTAAATTCTAAAATAATGGAAGACAGTGAAACAATGTAAGTATGTACAATGTCCCATCTGACAATAATGCAGGAAAGAGGGGAGGGGGCAAAAGGCGGAGCATTTAAAAAAGCGCGACCCGTGGGACGGGAATAACTTGAAACGACTGAATATTTAATATAACTGTTTTATTATATGCACAAGGTCTGAATTCACAGACTTTGCTTTTCCGTTATTTTCAATATTTTTCTTATTTTGTTTATGTTTTTATCTTCGCTCTTTCGGTCGATTATTTTTCCAAAAATATATATTTTTAACCATTTTAAATTGAATAAACAATTCATTTGCTAACCTGTAAACAATTTGTGGGAGGTTTTCATTGTGTTTTTAATCCTGTAAGCGCTATAAAAAGCGAACAACTTGCCGTTTTCTCATTCGCAAAACGTTGGAAATTCAGTTTCAGCCGCCATTTTGTTTTTCTCTAGAAAACAGAAATTGCAGAAATGCAGAATAGCTCATACCTAACCTGCGATCAGGCCTATAAATAAATAAAAGGCCTATAAGTAAATAAATAAAAGGCCTGATACAAACCTTAACAAAAGTTCATGTTGTACAATCGTATTTGGAGTGTAAATCTGATTGGTCTATGAAACAAAAGATTTTTTAATCTGTCATTTGATTGGTTGGTGCTAATTAGATTATACTATTGTTGTTGATATATTTTATAGTAATCACAAATATAATTTGTTGTTGTCGTTGTGTGAAAATATTTAAATTTCTCCTGCGACATTTTGATTCAACTGATTGGATACTAAATATAAACTTTGCTGTGTGTGGAAAGCGATCGGATTAAGGTTTGTCTAATGTGTCAGGCTATTATTTGTAAAATAGAGCCTGATACTCAGGTTTATTCAGACCTTGTGTATATAATAATTTCTCATATTTCCTCTCTGTAACTAGCCTGCTCGTAGACGTTGTTATTCTTACGCAAAACAACAAAAAAGTAACGTCTGCTGACCCGAGCGCCAGAATGAATTCTGCTACGTCAACCAATCAGAATTTACCTTCCAAATTCTGGAAATTGACGTCAGTTGGTACAACCTTGTACCCAGGATAAAGAAAGATCCTGGGTATGAGGTTGCCTATCCCCAATCTTAACCCTTTCCCTATTCCTAACCTTAAAAGGCTAAAAATAGTAGCTAACTTCCCTTAAAACGTGACTCGTATGTTGTCATTAGATTCTGTGGCATGTGCTCTGCGAAACTAAGAAAAGATGTTAGGTTCTGTTGGAAGTGTAATGCTGACCAAATATCTGCTGGGCCACCTGGTGAAAGTACAAATGTTGTGCAACAACAAGAATCATTTGGCAGGCCACAACTTGGACAAAAGCGAAAAGCGATGTCTATTGAGAGCTACTTGAAAACTAAGTCAACTGAAAGGCAATCTGCCAGTACTTTTCGTTCAAAAAAAAAGAACACCGCTAAAGTCGAGAAAAAGGTGTCTGTTAACATTGGTATCAAGGTGATGTCCACAAATGGGCTTAAGACAGTTCGTGGTAAACGCTTACCAGTCACCGTTTCACAACAAAGTACTTATGCTATGCTGCTAGAACAGGCATTACAAAAATGGAGTGCTTACGACAAAAACTTTGATGCGTCTAAAGAATATGTGCTACTTTATGATGATGACAGATGTGCTCAGTTTATGCCTGGTAACTTCCTTACTATATACTATTACGGTACCTTTAATTGAAATTGCAGAATGAATAGTTTAATCTCAATATTGAATTTATTTGTCCATTTCACTGCATGCCATCTGTTGGAATTGCTTTAATTTAAACCATTACGTCATGATGTGTACTCGCGCCTGTCTTGTTATTTAACTTGTCTGTTACCAGAATATTTTTCTGCAATACTATAAAGCAGCTTTATTTTCGAGGGCGAAATACGATCATCAACAAACAATTTGCAATTTTAATGTGGCTTTTTATGCAATTCCACTAATCTAATCCTACAATTGAACTTCAAAGTAGCTGTGCTTAATTGTTATCTCCAACCTTATTACACGTACTAGCACTACCTACACATGCATTTCATAATTTTAAATGATATGTTTATATATCAAGTAAATACAAAGTGAAATATTTGTATTCAGTTCTGTCTTAAATAAGTCAGAAATTTATATCCAGTGTTTCTTCTTTGCCTCCCCACCCACCACAAAGAAACAAATATGTACTGATTAGATTTATTATATTATTGGGCTGGATATTCCAGTTAATTAGTTTACTGTGTATTTTCTGTTGTATTTGTTTTTGTTGTTGTTGTGGTGGTCCGTTAATGACGTGGTATTAGTAAGCTAAAACCTCAATTGCAACCAAGAAACAATTCTTCATGCACCTACGTATTTTCACTGAACAAATATTTAAAAGCATCAATTGTTTGCCCATAATAGTATGCGGACAAATGCATTAGTTACATCAAAGCAGGGCCGGAACTACTGGGGTGTGTTTGGGGAGTTTAACGCCCCCAGAGAAAAGTAAAAAAGGGGCCCAACTTGGCCAGAGGGGTCCCAGAATGCTGGAATTGCAGAACGTGTTAAATATTAAGGAATTTCTGAAACATTGAGGTCGAAAAAGGTCTGAAAAAGTATTTTGCTTCCATTTTCTCAAACTATTGTCAGAACATTTTTTGGGAAGTTTTGTTTTCAGAAAAAAAATAATTTATTCATTTTAACATTTTTAAAAAATGCATCGCCTAACCAACATTAACTGTTTGAAACAATGCAAAAGTTTAAATTCTAAAACCACGGTGGTCCTTTAGTACGATCGTACTTGTTTACTATAATGTTTACCACTTGTATGCCTATTGCCTATACTTCGTGTAAGCCTGTCCCCAAGCCATACCCTAATCCTAACCATAAAGTGTCTTGAGACCTAATAATAACCATTACAACAGGCATATATGAAGAATATTTTGCATTTTGGAATAAGTTCTCCCCTCTATTGAGCCCCCTATATCCAAAAAGCTCCTACAAGATCCCTCCAATAAATAAGTGCTGTGGAAAGTTTGTGGGCCCACAGATCGGAATTTTAATTAAATTATCTATTGTTTGAAACAAATAATGTAAAAAAAAACATGCGCATGAGCAGGACGGACTTGACAGCCTCTTTAATTGTTACGGTAAGTTCTGTTAGAAACTATCCACAGCACTTATTTATCTTTACAACCTCCTTAAATTTAATATGTAAAATGATGTAATATTGCAGTTTTTGGTTATTCTTTGAATTTAATTGCTTTTTTATTTTCTCATTTTAGGGCAACATGCCGAATTTTTCTGCTTGGAAAAATATAAGACGGAGGTAGGAAGAGATTATAAGCGCATCATATTTTATCTCTGTCTAAAGAAAGACCTCGAACAAAGCGAAGACCTGGAGAAAGATGAGGAAACTGATGACGAGAAGAGCGATGACAACTTCAACTTAAACCTGTTGTTCAACGGAGACTTGCCTCCAGAAGAGATGTTCCAAATTGACGATTTTATAGATGCAGTAGATAAAGCAGAAACCGAAAGCCAAAAAGAAACGTCGTCCTCCAACGAACAGACGGAATCAAATGAAATCTCTTGTAACTTGCCTCAAGATGCAATATTTGATGTTATTTCTGACAGTGGTATTGATGATTATAAAGATGTGGTGAATTTACTGAGGTCTAAAGTTAAACATGATGATCAACTCTTTCTTACCATGAGACGACATGCTCCGTTTTCTCGAGTACTTAGTTTGTGGAAAAGGCAAGCTCTGAAGTCGGATCCTTTGCACGAGTTAAAGGTTCACTATAGTGGTGAAGATGGCATCGACTCGGGCGCATTAGCACTGGAATTTTTGGAGGAATGCATACAAGAGATGGGGAAAGTGATGTTTCCTGATGGTTCCCCTATCGATTCGTCTTTGCATGTGCAAAATGGCGATTTTCGAGCATGTGGCCAACTAGTCGCTGTGTCCCTGGCGCAGGGTGGTCCCCCTCCTTGCTTTCTTGAGAAGTGCGCGTATGAAGCAATGTTTGCCAACGTGGATATGATGAATATCTCTGACGAACATCTGACCGCTAGAGAAATTAGCTTGCTGGAAAAAGTGCGCTCAGATTGTAAAAAATATACTGATCTGATCATCGATCATGGTTACACGGGTACGATATCCAATGAGCATGTTGACGAGATTATTCGCTCCCTGAAGGTGAGTTTTGTTTCACGCAGATGTCTTTACATGAATGAGTTTATCATTGGTGCTGAGTCATATGGGCTTGACAAAATAATGAAAGATAATCCATCTGTTTGTGAGCCGTTATTTGTGAATGGAGAGCTGAAGAATGGCTTGAGACCTAGTGCTGACTACCTTTTCTCATTAATGGTCCCTAATTATTCTGAAGTTGGATCAACAAGAAGATGCACAGAAGAAAACATTATGGATTATTTACAAGATACTTTAATTTCATTTGAAGACGAAAACATTGAAGGACATAGTTATGCAGTAGCATGGGATCACGAAGTGAGCCCTGATGGTATTCAATCAAACAACGGTGGAGATGACAAAGAAATGCGAGTAGAATTTTCCACTCCCATCGTAAATATTCCAGGTGTGATGGGTTGGTTAATTGGAACGCAACACGTACCTATAAATGGAAAGAAACCAAATATAGCAGTCTTTTTTGACCATGACTGCCTGGTACGAAATCCTAAACACTCGATTTGTTTCCCACTTGTCGGAGCATGTGCAAAGACTCTAACCATCCCCGTTGCACATATGAGAAATGAGACGAAGTTCAAGGAGATTTTTCTCATGGCCTATTGCAAAGGAAGACCGTTTACAAAACCTTAATTTCGACTAACATTGGTTTGGGAGAACATTTGTTTCTCTGTTTGAGAACCATAAAACATTGCAGTTGTTCACAGTGATATTTTGATTGATTAATGTATACTGCCCAATTTGCTGTTGATACGTGATTAATGAACATGCGGTTTTTTCAAGTTCAGTGATAATATATTTCAATATATAAATTCTTCATATTTTAAAGATGTTCAGTATTTTACTATGTTGAAAGTGGAATACACATGTTATTTAATAAGAACGATAGTAGATATGTAGTCTATAGTTAATATTTACATTTTGTTCGAACTCTAAACTTTACGTCATTGTTCTTTAACATTAAAGACAATCGATATCATAGAGATAATTGTTGTAAGCTGTACTATTTCCTATAGTGGAATATATACAGTATTTATATTTAAGACGTTTGATGTTGACAATCAAGTTCACTTTGTATTAAACCGTCTTTCAAAATATGATGGTCTGGAAGTTCGCAAATATCAAAGCCACAAAATAGAAGACCGTTGTTTGATGTTGAACTGTACCTCACCATGCAAAAATCCTTTGTCTCAACTTTATTAGACATCGTAATTGCACGTTTATCCTCGGCTATCCCGAGTGGACGATTACTTCATTATACGAAAATACAGTATACCTAATCAACGTGGCCTGCGCAAATTAATATAAACTCAAACATAAACATTATACAATGACTTCTGCTATTGGGATCCAGACCATTATATCATGACTGACCACGACTGATTGTGTTATTCAAATAAAGTAACTACATTCCATTGTTTGCATAATCAAGTAGTATATTGTATAAATGTAGTCCATCTCTCCAGTTCCCTGGTGTTTGTAACTCACAAGTGTTTATTACGTAATGAAAATACTCCTGGAACACATTGTGTTCTGCATTGTCCACAACATGTGTTTGTGCGTAAACCATGTCGTGTTCAGGCACAGGCAATATAATGTCAGAAACACCACCATTTACTTCAGGCAAAAAGTATAACGAATCTGGTCGACCAGCCACGGTATCATAGCGTGATTTCCGTATGTAGTGCGTATTCCAGTGCTCTTTGACATAGTCTAAATCCGCTTGTAAAAGTGATGCAAAGACAAACCAGAGGCATTCAGATTGCAGTTCACTTGCCCGATTAAATACCTGTTGGTCTTCTAAATCTTTAAAAAAATTCATCCACCAAGTAATTCTGCTTCTCCTAAAATAAGACCACCAGGCCTCTATTCTTTGATTTCTTGGAGATGGTACGTAACGATGACTGTGAATATCGTCTCGAAAAAAGGACTGTAATGAAGCCATGATACCATTCTCGGTGCCAAGATCCGTCACCAATTTCATGGGGCAGCCTCTCAGTTGTCGAACTGTTTCAAGGTAATATGCTGCTATATTTTGTGGTAAATTATTTGAACGTGTCACGTATAGCCATAAGATTTTTCGGCTCCACCCATCAATGCATGCGTGAATGGGAAAACCAAATGGTTTCAACTTATCATATCCATCACAGTGCCAAACATCGTTCGGTCCCCGATTGTGATACGTTCTTCGCCGAAGTTTATGAGCCTTTCTCTGTTCTACCCCTTCGGGATCAAGTTGCTTTATTAAGTGCTGGACAACACTTCTTGGCACAGAAATACCTTGTAACTTAAGTGTATGCCATACGTGTCGGTAACCCGCAATACAGCCAGGTCCATCCAAAATAGTTCGGATTTTCTCCGTAATAACATCAATGTCGTAATCCGCATTTTTCCTTTGAAGGCCATATACTTTTATGCGTCTTTTAAGGGTCGCGATGCTCATATTTATAGAATGATTCTTAGTCAAAAACTCGATAATTTCTTTGTATTCGAAACCCTTGCTAAAGTATTCTTTGATCAAATTTTCTTCCTGTTGGGCGTCCGCCATTGTTGAGTATTGGTACTTGTAGCTATCAACCACGTGTTCAAATTTAAGCTTTAATTTTAATTTGCCGTGAGTTTTTATTTTGCCGTGAGTTTTTATTTTGCCGTGAGTTTTTATTTTGCCGTGAGTTTTTATTGTGCCGTGAGTTTTAATTTTGCCGTGAGTTTTTAATTTGCCGTGAGTTTTTATTTTGCCGTGAGTTTTTATTTTGCCGTGAGTTTTTATTTTGCCGTGAGTTTTTATTTTGCCGCGAGTTTTTAGTTTGCCGTGACTTTTTATTTTGCCGTGACTTTTTATTTTGCTGTCAACATTAAATTGTTGTTGCAGTAAATATAAAGATTATCCGTTCAATAAATTTTGTTTTGCAGTCAATTTGAACTTTATGTTAACGTAATTTTAAAAACATTTGCCGTGATACTTGTGGGCCACCGTAGCTTCCCACATCTCTTCTAATGAGTTTTGGAACGTTTTAAATACTAGATATAAACGAGGCTTACGCGAAAAATGAGGATATTACAACAAAGTGCACTGAAACACTGATCTCAAAACTAGCCTGGATAAATGAAGCCGATGGTAGTACTGTACCAGCATCTACTGTATGGTGTTGACATACTAGAAGAGGTTCTTACAGCCTCTAGTTATTGGTGGCAAAGAATAAACATTGCTTGAATAGAATTTATCAACAGTGGCCTCTCTTCAGCCTTAAATTTGGCCGTGAATAACTAGTTAATGAGGCCACACCTATGGGTCACACTAAGCGTTTTAAACTCATTCGAGAAGATGTGGGATTGTGTGAAGCTATATCTTTCAAGTTACATAGGAAAATATATTCCTGCAGAATTGGCCGATTGTATTTAAAAGGATATTCTATCAAGTCTGGTTTTCAGATCAATGATTGAAACATTAATCATAGGTAAAGGGATAAACGATATTGAGCATATTGAGGTATCATCCTTAATTGCAAGGGACGCGTTGCGCGCGATAAGCTTGCCAGCCATTTCTGCATGCCTGCCACCATATGACATATGGCGCAGAATTCTTATTGTACAGTAGTCAAACTCAATTGACATAGGCATTATAAATTCATGTCCTACATACATCACCGATCTACTTCGTCGTCATATCCCTGCCCGTACTTTGAGCTCCAGCAGTCAAAATTTGTTAACTGTGCATAGAGTGCGAACAGAGACATATGGCGAGAAGTCTTTTTCCTGCGCTGCTCCGAGACTCTGGAACAATCTTCCTGACTCTATCAAGCAGAGTCCAACTATCCATGAGTTTAAGGCAAAGTTGAAAACATATCTTTTTAGGATAGCTTTTACTGATTAACTGTTTTTAGATTCTTGTTGTAAAAAGCATTGAGACTCATGTATAATGCGTTTTAAAGAATAATTATATTATTATTATTATGTCTTGCTGTTTATGAATGCTGAGCCCTATCCTTACCCTGACTCTAACCCTAACCGCTGACCCTTTAACTCACGAATAGCGAGACATGAATCTATATCCCAACGTTGGTGAGTGAACATCAAAAATCTACTATCACTACATGCATGGCAAACGAGGTTCCAACAGTTTCTCGCTATCGTTGGGGAAACAGAGTCACAACAGATGCATCTTATACAATCTGTTTTGTTCCTTGCAGAATTCCTTACAGCTCTACCGATAACAACTGAATTTGAAACAATTAGAATTGATAGTTATGCCTGCATATTCAACGACAAAGCTAATCGCCATGATTATCTTAGAAACTTCCAGTATCGAATACAAGTGACCCATATTCTGAACGATTCACATAACTTAAAACCTTAAACGTACACCAAAAGGGTGGCATGACATGTTGAAAACTTCGCCCCCGCCCCCCTACACGTTTAGTCTAGATAGAAATTGGTCATCAGTGGGCATCCTCGCACCCAGGGTTGGAAAGTCCCTACGACGGAGGTTGATCTGTGGGCAGTAACTAATGAGATCACAGCAATATGGCGCCTCGAGTCTCATTAGTCATTACGAAGTGTTGAAAGTTTTAAAAATCGTTACAAGACTAGTTGTGGGAAGCTTTATCTTCCAAGTTACACAGGCAAAGTCATGCGCTTGATAGTTAAGCTGAGCTAATTTAAACACCTAACTGAATTCGATAGGTGTATCAAATCTGACAGATTTAAAAATCTCATAAATATCCAGGCTTCAAAATTGGCTTGCTATCCAGTCGTACTTTTAATTAAGATCAGTTTTAAACTTATAATTACGATCTGAGATTGCGTTGCAATTGCAAGAAAAAATGCCTCGTGTAACAATGCAGATCGCTCAGTGAATGCCTTCAAAGGTCGATATTTATGAGATTTTAATAACGTGCTTGTGTGCAATAATGGTTTGTGATTGTTGGCCTTAGGGTGATTACAATTTGATTATTTGACAGTTTAGAAATGGAAAAGCCGCAAATTCCCACTTTGCGAACCTCGACCACATGAACGATCAACCTCGTACCCAAGGTTTCTGCGCTTTTTGCCCTGAAGCCCTGGGTACGAGGTTGATGAACGATTTGATTCATTCTCGTACCCAGAGTCCTTCTTACGCGCGGTCAACGGAGCGCGACGAGGGGCTCTGGCCAAATCCATATCAAACTGGCATCTGATTGGCTACAACGAAGGTTATTGTTCTAATACCGGATATATTCTTTTACCATGTTTTTATGGTATCCGGTTTTGGATTTGGCCATTCTTGTATCCAAAGCCCTTCTTACGCACGGTGCGACGAGGGGCTCTGGCCAAATCCATATCCGAACTGGCATCTGATTGGCTAGTTCTGACACCGGATATTGTTTTCTTACCATGTTTTTATGGTATCCGGTTATGGATTTGGCCAGAGTCCCTCGCCGCACTGCCCGTAAGAAGGGCTCTGGGTACGAGAATAGATTTGATTAATTTTCCAGCACTCGACCCATTCTCCTCCGCAGCGCCGGGCAGTCAAACACGAAGGCTACCCAGAGTCATATATATAGTTTAAACACCTAGCTAGAGCTATAGATAGATTAAACTCGCTGGCTATATACCCACAAATTATGAGGCATGCATATAATCGTTGTCCGCTGCGCGCGTCCACCAAATACCTGAATGCATTACATTTTCAGGTGTCCCAGGAAATGTAGACCCCGAGCCATAATTCCTAGGAAATTTGACCCCCCCCCCCCCCCCGGGGTTAAAA